ACATTGTAATCACAAACATAAGTTAGGTACTATAGTAGTATTTATTTGATTTATTTTGTATTGCATACAAAATAAATCTATATAAATAAAAATGTAATGTTTGTTTGTGGGACTGACATAACTCAAAAACCACTGGACGAATTGCCGCCATGTTTGGCCACAAGAGACCTACTAACCCAAGGAGTGACCATCACAAAAAAAAAATGATTTTGTCACTTGGGAGTTGTAGTTGCTGGGATTTATAGTTCACCTACAATCAAAGAGCATTCTGAACTCCACCAACGATGGAATTGAACCAAACATGGCATACAGGACTCCCATGACCAACAGAAAATACTAGAAGGGTTTGGTGGGCATTGACCTTGAGTTTTGGAGTTGTAGTTCACCTACATCCAGAGAGCGCTGTGGACTCAAGCAATGATGGATCTGGACCAAACTTGGTATGAATATTCCATATGCACAAATATGAACTCAGATGGAGTTTGGGGGAAATAGACCTTGATATTAGGGATTTGTAGTTGCTGGGATTTATAGTTCACCTGCAATCAGTGAGCACTCTGATCTCCACCAAAGATGGAATTGGATCAAACTTGGCACACAAAGCCTCCATGACGAGCAAACAATACTGGAGGTTTTTTGGGGGAAAATCACCTTGCGTTGTGGGAGTTGTAGTTCACCTACACCCAGAGAGCACTGTGAACTTAAACAATGATGGATCTGGACCAAACTTGGCATGAATATTCCATATGCACAAATATGAACTCAGATGGAGTTTGGGGGAAATAGGCCTTGATATTAGGGAGTTGTAGTAGCTGGGATTTATAGTTCACCTGCAATCACTGAGCACTTTGATCTCCACTAAAGATGGAATTGGATGAAACTTGGCACACAGAGCCCCCGTGACGAGCAAAAAATAGTGGTGGTCTTTGGGAAAAAAATCATCTTGTGTTGTGGGAGTTGTAGTTCACCTACACCCAGAGTTGTAGTTCACCTACACCCAGAGAGCACTGTGAACCCAAATGCGGTTAGATCTGGAACAAACTTGGCACACATACCTGATACGCCGAAATTTGATTACTGGAGGGGTTTGGGGGGAACTGACCTTCCTTTCTGGGAGTTGTAGTTCACCCACAACCAGGGGAACTGTGACCTCCACTGATGATGGACTTGGACCAAACTTGGCACGCAGAACCCCCATGACTAACTCAACCTACTGGGGGAGTTTGAGGGGACTGACTCATCTTAGTGGGAGTTGTAGTTTACCCTGCAGCCAGAGAGCACACTGAACCCCATTGATGACACATCTAGAGCAGACTTGCCCAAAATAACAAATTGTAATCCTACGTATCCTTCCAAACTTTAAGTACTGATCGAGTTTCTCGGGGTTAACCAGGCATGATGTGAGTTGTAGTTCACCCACAGCCTTATGCATTTTGTGCAATTAAAAATGGACTTTCTCCTTCCCTATCTCTCTCTTTTTGATTTCAGCCAGTAAGTACATCCCCTTCCTTTGGGCCTTCCCTCCCACTTGTTGGCCCCAACCCATTAACTCATAGGGTTTCCAGAAGCAGCCTATGAACCCCACACTTGCTGGCCAAGGATGGGGGCTAAGCTGGGAAGCTCAGGTGTGTCAGGTAATTCCATCCCATAATGCTGTAAGGGAGAGGCTGACAAAGGAGGAAAGAGAAGCCTTCTCCTGGTAGTAGGGCTTGGGCAAGCTTTGAAGGCATCTCTTGACCATCAGGCAAGGCTACATTCATATCTGATATTGCAGTGGCTATTTTCATGAAAAAACTCGAGGAGATTATCTGCTGTTTTGGAGGTAGGAGCACCCCAAACAAATAGTTATTATTATCCTTGGACCAAATCAATCAATGGAACGAGCTATTACCAACTCTGCTTTGTTTATAACAGGCATGGGCCAACTTGGGCCCTCCAGGTGTTTTGGACTTCAACTCCCACAATTCCTAACAGCCTACCGGCTGTTAGGAATTGTGGGAGTTGAAGTTCAAAACACCTGGAGGGCTCAAGTTGGCCCATGCCTGGTTTAGAACTAAGTGACTTGCAACTCTACTGAAGTTCTCATGGATGACCATTGAGTGTGCTTCTCCTATATGGCAGAAGGTTGGACTAGATGGCCTTTGGGGACCTCTTCCAACTCTAGGACTTCTATGATTCCTCATAGAATGGGAAGTAGATGGGATCTGACCCCGATATTGTTGGACTGCAACACCTAGCATCCTCTGCCATCAGCTATGTTGGTTAATGGGATTTGTAGTCTATTCACACACAACTCATACTTTGATTGCTTAAACAACTCCAGCTTGGGCTGATTAGAGGCCAATTTGCTGGTTGACTCAATATTTAGGGATTAGGCTTCAAGTAATGACCTGTAACAGAAGGGAAAAAAATGTTGAAGTTGCCTTGTTTTTGTCTCCTTAATACGAAAGGTACCGTATATACTCGAGTATAAGCCGACCCGAATATAAGCCGAGGCACCTTATTTTACCATAAAAAACTGGGAAAATGGATTGACTCGAGTATAATTTACCAGTAGCAGCAGCTAAAACTGGTAAATTTCAAAATAAAAATAGATACCAATACAATTACATTAATTGAGGCATCAATAGATTAAATGTTTTTGAATATTTACATAAAACTTTAAGATAAGATTGCCCAACTCTGATTATTCTAACCTTCCTCAATGTGCTTATGTATCTTACGTATCCTTCCAATAATAATAAAATAATAAATCTAATACAAATAATTTATTTATTTATCGTGTCAGGAGCAACCAGACAGTTGTGTTACATTTTTAACAAAGCAAGCAAACAAACAGACAAAACACAAAGTTTGCAAACTTGGTAGTTGATTAAATGCTCTTTGAGCAGTATCTGGCCCCTTGGAGTGCCTCTGGTGTTGCCGCAAGAAGGTCCTCCCTTGTGCATGTGGCAGGGCTCAGGTTGCATTGCAGCAGGTGGTCAGTGGTTTGCTCTTCTCCACACTCGCATGTCGTGGATTCCACTTTGTGGCCCCATTTCTTGAGGTTGGCTCTGCATCTCGTGGTGCCAGAGCGCAGTCTGTTCAGTGCCTTCCAAGTCGCCCAGTCTTCTGTGTGCCCAGGGGGAGTCTCTCATTTGGTATCAGCCATTGGTTGAGGTTCTGGGTTTGAGCCTGCCACTTTTGGACTCTCGCTTGCTGAGGTCTTCCAGCGAGTGTCTCTGTAGATCTTAGAAAACTATTTCTAGATTTAAGTCGTTGACGTGCTGGCTGATACCCAAACAGGGGATGAGCTGGAGATGTCTCTGCCTTGGTCCTTTCACTATTGGCAGCTACTTCCCGGCGGATGTCAGGTGGTGCAATACCGGCTAAGCAGTGTAATTTCTCCAGTGGTGTAGGGCGCAGACACCCCGTGATAATGCGGCATGTCTCATTAAGAGCCACATCCACTGTTTTAGTGGTGAGATGTGTTCCACACTGGGCATGCATACTCAGCAGCAGAGTAGCATAGCGCAAGGGCAGATGTCTTCACTGTGTCTGCTTGTGATCCCCAGGTTGTGCCAGTCAGCTTTCGTATGATATTGTTTCTAGCGCCCACTTTTTGCTTGATATTCAGGCAGTGCTTCTTGAACAACAAGAATACAAATAATAAGAGAGCAAAATAAAGGAAATGTAATAATAACAATAGTAAAGAGAGCAAATAAATGTAATGATAATAAAAGTAAAATAACAAATGTAATACAAATAATAATAAAAGAGTAAAATAATGGGAATGTAATAATAACAATAATAAAGAGAGCAAATAAATGTAATGATAAGAATTAATAAGAATAAAATAATTGTAATAATAACAATAATAAAGTAAAATAATAAATGTAATAATAATAGAGTAAAATAATAAATGCAATAAAATTAATAATAAAAAAGTAAAATAATGGAAATGTAATAATAACTAATAAAGAGAGCAAATAAATGTAATGATAATAATAAATAAGAGTAAAATAATAAATGTAATTCAAATAATAATAAAATAGTGAAATAATGGAAATGTAATAATAACAATAATAAATAGAGCAAATAAATGTAATTATAGTAAATAAAAGTAGAATAATAAATGTATTTATGACAATAATAAAGTAAAATAATAAATGTAATAATAAAGTAAAATAATGTAATAAAATTAATAATAGTAACAGAGAAAAATAATAAATAACCTTGACTTGAGTATAAGCCGAGAGGGACTTTTGAAGCTTAAAAAAGGGCTGAAAAACTAGGTTTATACTCGAGTATATACTATGTAACACCATTTTTGTTCAATGCCATTTCCTAATTGGTTCTATCATAAAAACATGGGAAAAGTTTAGGTAAAGGTAAACATTTTCCCTTGACATTTAAATTCATATTAAACTTCAAAAGCTTTGTTTTTGCGGGAAGGACATCTTTTGCTATAGGTTTCCAATATATATCTCATTAAATATTCTATTCCTTGAAAGGACTTCGCCCTTTCTTCCTCCTTCAAGATCCTTAAGGTAAAGGTAAAGGTTTTCCACTGACTTGTCCAACTCTGGGGATTGGTGCTCGTCTCCCTTTCTAAGCCGAAGAGCTGGCATTGTCCATAGACACCTCCAAGGTCATGTGGCCAGCATGAGTTCATGGAGCGCTGTTACCCTCCCGCCGGAGCGGTACCTATTGATCTGTTCACATTGGTATGTTTTCGAACTGCTAGGTTGGCAGAAGCTGGGGCTAACAGCGGGAGCTCACCCCGCTCCCCGGATTTGAACCTTATTAAGACCCAAATTAAGACTCTCAAGCATGAAAACCCAAAACAACCACTCGATTGTACTTAAGGCTTTCTTCCTCCCCATTCTCCGTTGCTTACTTTCCTCTGTCCTTTCCGGTTGAGATCTTTCTTCTTTGTCAATATAACAGTGAGTGTTAATATACTACGCTTTGTCTCCTGGTGACTTTGCTCTTGTTTTTTCCCCTTCTTCTTCCAAAAGCCAATAAAAAGAAGGAGAAAGAGCGACCCGAGATCTCCTTGCCGTCAGACTTTGAACACACCATTCACGTTGGTTTTGATGCGGTCACTGGAGAATTTACGGTAAGCAGAATGGGGGAGGAACAGGAAGAGATGGGGATCCATCATGTCATTTGGGAGTTGTAGTTGCTAGGATTTATAGTTCTCCTACAATCAAAGAGCATTCTGAACTGCACCAACGATGGAATTGAACCAAATTTGGCACACAGAACTCCCACGACCAACAGAAAATACTGAAAGGGTTTGGTAGACATTGACCTTGAGTTTGGGAGTTCTAGTTCACCTCCATCCAGAGAGCATTGTGGATGCAAACAGTGATGGATCTCGACCAAACTTAGCATGAATATTCAATATGCCCAAATGTGAATACTGGTCAAGTTTGGAGAAAAATAGACCTTGACATTTAGGAGTTGTAGTTGCTGGGGTTTATAGTTCACCTACAATCAGAGAGCATTCTAAACATCACCAATGATGAAACTGAACCAAACTAGGCACACAGAACTCCCATGACCAACAGAAAATACTGGGCATTGACCTTGAGTTTTGGAGTTGTAGTTCACCTACATCCAGAGAGCACTGTGGAATCAAGCAATGATGAATCTGGACCATTTTGGCACAAATACTCACTATATCCAAATGTAAAAACTGGTGGAGTTTGGGGGAAATAGACCTTGACATTTGGGAGTTGTAGTTGCTGGGATTTATCGTTCACCTACTATCAAAGAGCACTCTGAACTCTACCAATGATGAAATTGAACCAAACTTGACACACAGAACTCCCATGACCAACTGAAAATACTGGAAAGATTTGGTAGCATTGACCTTGAGTTTTGGAGTTGTAGTTCACCTACATCCGAAGAGCACTGTGGATTCAAACTATGATGGATCTGGACCAAACTTGGCAGAAATACTCAACATGCCCAAATGTGAATACTGGTGGAGTTTGGGGAAAATAGACCTTGACATTTGGGAGTTGTAGTTGCTGGGATTTATAGTTCACCTACAAAGAAGGAGCATTCTGAACCCTACTAACGATGGAATTGGGCCAAGCTTCCCACACAAAACCCCCATGACCAACAGACAATACTGTGTTTTCTGATGGTCTTTGCTGACCCCTCTGACACCTCCTCGCGACCCCCCCCCAGGTTGAGAAACACTGGTTTAAAAGAATGGAACCCTAGAAGTTAAAGCATTATCACACTCCTCTAACTGTAGAGTGTGGACGCAGATGTGGTTCAAGTTGGGAATGTGAATAGTATTGATCCGTTTTGTGATCCTGTTTCCAGGGCATGCCAGAGCAATGGGCCCGCTTGCTGCAAACCTCCAATATCACCAAACTGGAACAGAAGAAGAACCCACAAGCTGTGCTGGATGTTCTTGAATTCTACAATTCCAAGAAGACCTCCAACAGCCAGAAATACATGAGCTTCACTGGTAGGTAGTCTTAATCAGGTTTTGTTTTATATACAGTCGTTTGTAAACACACAGGAAATGATGTCTTAACAGAGAACTCTTGGATTGCCATCCAAACCGGAGATATTATCAAATAGATAACACAAATGAGAAAATGAAAGAAATGCAAATATTTAATAATATGGACTTCTGCTTATTTATTTATTTTTATTTTGTATCAAAAGCATTGCATAAATGCTTTTGATACAAAATAAAAAATATTGATATTAAAAAATAAAAATTGATATTAATATTTATCTGTAATAATCTAGTAAATGTAAAGTGACTAAAAATGACATTAAAATATTGTATAGGAAGGATAACAATATCGAGGATAGCTTTGACGGTGTGGTGAGTGAATTAGAACCAGAAATCCTGAGGAGTGAGATTGAATGGACCTTAAGAAGCATTGCTAACAACAAGGTAGCTGGAGACAATGGGATCCCAGCCAAATTGTTCAAAATCTTGAAAGCATGCTGTGAAGGTGATACATGCCATAAGCCAGCAAATATGGAAAACAAGAGGGACTAAAACATATGGGAAATGCAGTGACATCATTAGACTCAGTTTGACTTTACCCTAGTCTTAATCACTGGTATTATGTACTAGCCGTCCCCTGCCACGCGTTGCTGTGGCTCAGTCTGTGTATATGTGTTTTGTGTGTGTATATGTGTGTGCATATTTTGTGTATATATGTGTGTTTGCATATATATGTGTGTGTGGTTTTGTGAATGTATTGTAATGTATTTTTTTTTTTGGCTTTTTAAGTCTCTTCTGGTGTGTTTTTCAGTGTTTTTATGAGTGATGGTCACTTGTTGGCCTGCTACGTGTATTATGTCTAAATTAGGTGTCAATTTGTCCAGTGGTTTTTGAGTTATGTTAATCCCACAAACGAACATTATTTATATAGATGAGAAGACTTACATATAATACTGGCATATATACCATATACATTATTTCTCTCTCCTTCCTTCCTTCCTTCCTTCCTTCCTTCCTTCCTTCCTTCCGTCCGTCCGTCTTTCTTTCTTTTCCTCCCTACCTCCCAACTTCTTTATTTATTTATTTATTTATTTCCCTTCCCTCCCTCTTTCTTTCTTTTCTTTCCTTCCTTCCTTCCTTCCTTCCTTCCTTCCTTCCTTCCTTCCTTCCTTCCACTTTTGCATGCTCTTATACACCTTTCCTGTCCTCTTCTTCCCGTTCTACATTCCTTCCTTCCGTTCTTTCTTTCCTTCTCTCCCTTTCTCTGATTTTCTCTTTCCATCTCTTGCTTTGCTTTTCTTTGTCTCCCCTTCTTTTCTCTTCCTTCTTTTCCCTTCCTTCCAACTTTTTTCTTTTTTTCTCTTTTCTTTCCTTTCTTTCCCTTCTTTTCCCTCTTCTCCTCTCTGCCTTTCGTTGCTTCCTTCGTTGCTTCTTCTTGTTCTTTCCTTCCTTCCTTCCTTCCTTCCTTCCTTCCTTCCTTCCTTCCTTCCCTTCCCTTCCTTCCTTCGTCATACACATCCTCATTCCTTCCCATCATCATCACAGAGGGCCACTTCACCTAGCAACAGCCTTTGTAGTACACTCAGACAGCGAAATAAACATATATACTTTAACATAGATAGATGTTAGATGGATGGATGGATGTTTCAGTAGCCAAACATGGATGTTAATTATGTCATCAACTACTTGTTGTTAAACTACCATCTGAAGTCAATACACTTCTTCGTACAAAACTGTACTGCAAAGGCTTTAGTTTCCCATTTCTTAAAAATCAACAATAGCTGGACCTATACTTAACCCTCAGTAAATATAATTAAAGAGTTATAATTAAAATTGCCAGCAACTATAATCACATCTCTGCAGCTATATTTAGCCTCAGTATGAGCACGGCTAGATATTTGCAAGACTCGTCATTCCAAATAAATGGAATTTGTGCAGAATAATGGTATTATATAATCCAGAGACATTGGGTCAGAATCCTAATTAAATGTCTGGATCCGAATTCATGGGAAGCAATGACCAGTCACTCTCGTCGTAACGGTGGACTGGGCGGTGGTGCAACTAGTTAGTAGCCAGCTGCATTAAATCACTACTGACCCAGAGGTCATGTGTTTGAAGCCAGCCCGGGTTGGAGTGAGCTCCTGACCATTAATAATCTAGCTTGCTGTTGACCTATGCGGCTGGAAAGACAGTTGCATTTGTCAAGTAGGAAATTTAGATATCGCTTTATGTGGGGAGGCTAATTCAACTAATTCACAACACTATAAAAACCTCCAGCAGCATACAGAAGAATGAGGAAGTACTCCATCAAAGGATTTGGTGTCACAAGTGAATGGTGAAATGGCAGCTTTCCCGGTGGCCGGAATTGAGCATAATCTCATAAAGCTGGAAAGCTGGAATGTTAAATTGCCTCTGTGTCTATATATGTTGTATGTCTAATGGCATTGAATGTTTGCCATGTATATATGCATTGTAATCTGTCCTGAGTCCCCTGCGGGGTGAAAATGGCGGAATATAAACACTGTAAACAAATAAATAAATTTGTGCCAATCAATAGTTTAGCATTGTATAATACAATAATATTATGCCTGCTCTTGATTTTGACTACAGAATGAAACTAGGCAATACAGGTAATTTTCGAAACTCTGTTTGTCTTTTAGATAAATCCATCGAAGATTATAATTCCTCCAACACAGTGGTAAGTCGTCTCTCGCTGTCCTTGATTTCAGTCTTCAGCAGAATACGCAAGATATAGTTAAATCCATTTCAATACAGACACTTTTTAATATTTTCATTGGATGCAACATAACCTCTGGTTGTAAAAGACTTCCAATCTAATGCAACCATTTGTTTAAATTCTGAAGAATCGATGACTTAAGGAGGCACCAATCCTGGGAAGTAATGGGAAAGTTTTTGTCTTTGAATTGGGTTTCGTGTTTACCTGAAATTAGAGAAATGTGAATGCAGATATCCTGCTTTCCCCCCAGAAAATCCCAGGGAAATTCAATTTTCTCTAAACTAGAAGGCACATAACTTTGGGTTTTGGATTATAGATCCCTTACTCTCCCAGTAACAACAGCCACTGGGGATTTGGGGATTTGCAGTCCAGAAAAGCAACTTTTAAAAGTTCTGACTAGTTCATCCAAGAGCTCATTAGTACTAGATAATAGTACAGTGGTTCTGAAAGCTGCCTTACAGAATGTATCTTATTAATGGACAGCGTTTCCACCTCGGCAAGGTCTTGCATAGCAAACGCTCATTATTCTGCTCCGCTTTCTTTTATCATCCTGCTGGGTTATTTTTTTTTATAAGCAGTAGGATTTCGTGTTTATTCTATGCTCGTTAATTGAGGTCTGATCTTCTGAACCGTCTCTGGGATTAACCAGCAAACAAAATACATAAAAACTACAGAAATGATGAGACTACATGAAATATACAGTAGATACCACTCTGTTTGGTGCTGTCTACCAAACATGCCTGCAATAATAATAATAATAATAATAATAATAATAATAATAATAATAATACAACCTTTATTTGTACCCCGCTACCATCTCCCGAAGGACTCGGTGCAGCTTACACGAGGCCAAGCCCAAATACAACAATAACACAACAACAATAATACAGCAAAATAAAACAAAAACAAGCAATAAACATTAACAACACACAATGACACAGTTAAAAACAATGGCCGGGCCAAATGTAATAATTAAAATTAAAATTAAAAGTGCTGGGCATGACAGGTGGGATGTTTGGAAGGGATGGGCATGCAGATATCCTAGGTCTCTGATAAAGGGCGTTGGGACATAATGCTAGGAGTTTCCTTATTCTGGGAAGGCACACTGGAACAGCCACGTTTTCAAGCTCCTCCTAAAGATTGCTAGCGACGGGGCCTGCCTGATGTCCTTAGGGAGAGAGTTCCAGAGTTGAGGGGCCACCACCGAGAAAGCCCTATCCCTCGTCCCCACCAATCGCGCTTGCGATGCAGGTGGGATCGTGAGCAGGGCCTCTCCAGATGAACGAAGAGATTGTGTGGGTTCGTACACAGTGATGCGGTCACGCAGGTAGGCGGGTCCCAAACCATTTAGGGCTTTGTAGATACGCACCTGCACCTTGAATTGGGACCGGAAAATGAATGGCAGCCAGTGGAGCTCCTTAAATAGGAGAGTTGACCTCTGTAAGGAGCACCAGTTAACAACCTGGCCGCCGCCCGTTGGACCAATTGAAATTTCCGGGCCGTTTTCAAGGGCAGCCCCACGTAGAGTGCATTACAGTAGTCCAATCTGGAAGTGACTAAGGCATGGACCACCCTTAGGTAGGACCAAGCCTGGGTCTACACTGCCATATAATACAGTTCAAATGTTGATTGTGGGCTTGTGCACGGATTTGGAGTGGTCAGTTTCCTTCGGCCAATCCGGCTTGTTCGGCTTGGTCAGATGGCCGAAACGGCAAAGGCCGCACCATCATGTTTTTTTTTGTCCATTATGGGAACACAGGGCAGCCGATCATGGCTCCTCCTCCCCTATTTGGTACGCAAAGATGACTTGTCTTACGCATGTTGTGTCTGCTTCCTTAACCCCATTACTGAAGGGAAAAAAGGAAAAGGTCTCAGACATGGAAAGGGGAGCCTCGTAAGTTCTCCCTTGCCACCAGTGGGCTGGATCTAGCCATACTTTTTGGTTGTGGGCCAAAAACGGTAATTCAGCTACCCACCCATTTTTGGGAGGCATGTTAAAATGGATACAGAGGATCTACCAGATAACCATCTGTCGGGGGTGCTTTGGTGTGCACACACTGTTGCACTAAACAGCAAGATTCCCTCTGACTTCAAACACCACACAGTTGAGCTAAAATAGCAAGCAGTTTATTGAAGATAATAAAAGTGAAAGCAATAAAGAGTAATCCACAGTAAAAGGTAAATCCAATTGATTAGGAAGTAGAAAGAGCAATAAATCCAAAGCGAGATAGTCTAAAGAAGTCCATGAAACTACAGGCTTGTTTTCAAAGGCAAAATAACAGCAAAGGCCCTTAAAATAGGAATAAAACAAAGACAAAGGTCCAGAAACTTGGCATGAAGAACTTATCGTGAATCCAACGTTGCTTCGTCTCAAGCTAGACTCAGTACTTGGCACTTATATGTCTACTTTGTTTCCTAAACAGCTAAGAATGGATCTTTCCTCAGTTTTGGTTTCACATCTCGCTTCTGCTCTAATCTGACTAAGCGCCTTAATTTCTGATTTGTTTGTCTTTTCTGGCTTGAGACCTTGAGAATCCCTTTGCAGCAATACAGACCTCTCTAAACCATCAACTGAACTGCACTCAGATCCCACATCGCTAAAACCAGGCCCAAGAAACAGACCATCACCCCCATTCCTTTCAGGAACATCTTCAATGATCTGTTGGCCCCAACCCATTAACTCATAGGGTTTCAGGAAGCAGCCTATGAACCCCACACTTGCTGGCCAAGGATGGGGGCTAAGCTGGGAAGCTCAGGTGTGTCAGGTAATTCCATCCCATATCTCTGTAAGGGAGAGGCTGACAAAGGAGGAAAGACAAGCCTTCTCCTAGTAGGGCTGGGGCAGGCTTTGAAGGCATCTCTTGACCATCAGCCAAGGCTACGTTCATATCTGATATTGCACTGGCTTTTTCATGAAAAAACATGAGGAGATTGTCTGCTGTTTTGGAGGTAGGAGCCCCCCAAACAAATAGTTATTATTAACCTTGGACCAAATCAATCAATTGAATGAGCTATTACCAACTCTGCGCTTTGTTTATAACAGGCATGGGCCAGCTTGGGCCCTCCAGGTGTTTTGGACTTCAACTCCCACAATTCCTAACAGGCTGTGGGAATTCAAGTCCAAAACACCTGGAGGGCCCAAGTTGGCCCATCAATAGGAGCATAGTGTCTAGATCTAAGGAAGTAATGCTACCCCTCTATTCTGCTTTGGTTAGACCACATCTGGAATAGTGTGTCCAATTCTGGGCACCACAATTCAAGAGAGATATTGACAAGCTGGAATGTGTCCAGAGGAGGGCGACTAAAATGATCAAGGGTCTGGAGAACAAGCCCTATGAGGAGCGGCTTGGGGAGCTGGGCATGTTTAGCCTGAGGAAGAGAAGGCTGAGAGGAGATATGATAGCCATGTATAAATATGTGAGAGGAAGCCACAGGGAGGAGGGAGCAAGCTTGTTTTCTGCTTCCTTGGAGACTAGGACGCGGAACAATGGCTTCAAACTACAAGAGAGGAGATTTCATCTGAACATTAGGAAGAACTTCCTGACTGTGAGAGCCGTTCAGCAGTGGAACTCTCTGCCCCGGAGTGTGGTGGAGGCTCCTTCTTTGGAAGCTTTTAAACAGAGGCTGGATGGCCATCTGTCAGGGGTGATTTAAATGCAATATTCCTGCTTCTTGGCAGGGGGTTGGACTGGATGGCCCATGAGGTCTCTTCCAACTCTTTGATTCTATGATTCTATGATTCTATGACCATTGAGTGTGCTTCTCCTACATGGCAGAAGGTTGGACTGGATGGCCTTTGGGGACCTCTTCCAACTCTAGGACTTTTATGATTCTCATAGAATGGGAGGTAGATGGGATCTAAGCCATCAACTGAACTGCACTCAGATCCCACATCTCTAAAACCAGGCCCAGGAAACAGACCATCACCCCCATTCCTTTCAGGAACATCTTCAATGACCACATACCCTTTCCCACCAGAGGAATCAACTTGAACATGAACAACATTGTCATTCCCATCATCCACAGCAACCTGATTATTAGACACAACATTGTCGTTCCCATCATCCAAAGCAACCTGATCATTAGACACAATCACAGGCTGAACAGGCTGACATACAACACATACACACACACACCTACATGCTCCTTCCTCCCAATAGCTACAATAAAAAGATCCCAGTCTCCTCTTCCACTCGCTCCCTGGCTATCTTTAATTATGAGGAATTTTATTAGGTCGGATATCAAAAGACACTGACATTCTCATTACTCAGCAGGTGCGACAACCATGCATCCTGAACAAAAGAGTTTTTTTTAATGCTCAGCAAGCGCTGTAATAAACAGCAATAAGGACAGTTGGCGTTCACTGTTGGCCAATGTGTCCTTCGTTCACATGGTAAAATTAATTGCAGTGCCAACAAAGTGTCCTTGATGTAATCCCCCGACTGTGTTTTTCCAAGTGTGCACTTTTGATGTGGAATAGCCTATCTCTGTGTGCATCTTTTCAAAATAAAGCTATTACATACTTTGGGCAAAAAAATCAAGCAGGGTTTGGTTATTCAAAAGTATCACTAAGATTTCAATATATAGGACCAGGTTGTGATGCAGCTAGTTAGTAGCCAGCTGCATTAAATCACTACTGACCAAGAGGTCATGAGTTCAAAGCCAGCCTGGGTCGGAGTGAGCTCCCGACCATTAATAGTCTTGCTTGCTGTTGGTCTATGCAGCCCGAAAGACAGTTGCATCTGTCAAGTAGGAAATTTAGGTACCGCTTTATGCGGGGAGGCTAATTTAACTAATTTACAACACCATAAAACCTTCCAGCAGCATGCAGAAGAATGAGTAAGTACTCCATTAAAGGACTCGATGTCTTAAGTGGATAGAGAAGTGGCAGCTCCCCCTGTGGCCGGAACCGAGCATACCCTCATGAAGCTGGAAAAAGCTGGAATGTTAAATTGCCTTCTGTGTCTGTCTATATATGTTGTATGTCTAAACGGCATTGAATGTTTGCCATGTATATGTGCATTGTAATCCGCCCTGAGTCCCCTGCAGGATGAGAAGAGTGGAATATAAATACTGTAAATATATATACATAGATAGATAGATAGATAGATAGAGAGCAAAAGGAATGACAATACCAATATAGGTGCAGTTTTATTTGGGGGGAAATGCTGTATGTGCAGAAAGTTTTGAGTCTCTTTTGGCAGTGAAAAAGCAGGGTATAAATACAAATGTTGTTGTTGATGATAATAATAATGTTGAGAACTTTCTAGCCATATTTTCGGTAGGGATAGCTTCAGACCATCTTTGTGACAAAAATGGTAGATGTAATATCTTCCTGGTCTCATCTATTGTTTATGTTTTTAATTTGCTTGCATTGTATTGTTATTGTTTGTTGTTGTTGTTGTTGAGGCCTTGGCCTTTGTAAGCCCCATCGAGTCCTTCGGGAGATGCTAGCGGGGTACAAATAAAGTTTAATAATAATAATAATCTAATATAAGTACAGTATATACCCCAGTATAAGCTGACCCGAATATAAGCCGAGGTACCTAATTTTACTGCAAAAAAAAAAAAAACTGGGAAAGCTTATTGACTTGAATCAGGACCATAGCCAGAAAAAAAATTCTGGAAGGGAGGGGGTTTGAAAGTTTTTTTTAGCAAATCATGAAGAGTTCGATAACACAACAACATTTTTAATGCAGTCCAAAGACCCTTATTGCTCCGTAAAAGGTGTAAGATACAAGGTATGCAAGATTAGTAAGGGCAAAAATAGCCAAAAAATAGTTGGTTTTTTTAACCTGAAAATTTTTGGGGGGGGGGAACCCCTACCCCCCCCCCCCCCCAGCTACAGGCCTGACTCGAGTATAAGTCGAGGGTGGGAATTGCAGCAGCTACTGGAAAATTTCAAAATAAACATAGATACCAATAACATTCCATAAATTGAGACATGCAGCTTCTCCTCTTCTCTTGGCACAGCAACCCAGCTGTGCCAAGAGGAGAGGCTGCACACCTTCCTCTCCTCTTGCGGCACAGAGACCCAACCGGGTGGTTGTGCTGAGAGGAAAGAAGAGGAAGGCATGCAGTTTCTCCATTCCTCTCGGTTGAGAGGAGAGGTCAGGCCCGGCCTGGCGGGAAGGTGTATGTCTGATGAGCCATGCAACTTCCTCTCCTCCCTTCTTGGCACAGCATCATTGAATGAGTAAAACTTCCCAAGATCCAGAGACTGTCCTCTTGGCAAAGCTTTATTCTAAGGTAATTCCAGAAAGCGGGTTGGATTTAATCTCACTACCTCAATACTTTCCTTTCTGCTCTTTTACTAGAGACGAATGCCTCCTATGGTTGCTTAGCAATTGCTGTGCATTTTCCTCCTTTGGGTCTTGTAAAAAATGTGAGCGAATAGTGAAAAGCGTGTTGTTATTGTGCATGGAGGAGGTCTATACTGCTGTCTGCACTCCCAAAGTTGCATGGTTCCTTTGTATGATGCAGGGTTTCCAGGGGGAAAATGTTGTATGTCAGCCTGTGATTGTGTCTAATGATCAGGCTGCTTTGGATGGTGGGGATGACAGTGTTGTATCTAATGATCAGGTTGCTTTTGATGATGGGAAAGAAAATGTTGTTCACGTTCAAGTTGATTCCTCTGATGGGAATGGGAATGCTATCCATGGAGAGATTCCTGAAGGTAATGGGGATGATAGTCTGTTTCCTGGGCTTAGTTTTAGAGTTGTGGGGCCTCAATGCAGTTCATTTGATGGGTTAGAGAGGAAAAAAGTTAAGGAAAAATCCGTTCTTAGCTGTTTGGGAAACAAAGTAGAGATATAACTGCCAAATAATGAATTTAGCTTCAGACAAAGCAATGTTGAATTCACGATAAGTTCTTCATGCCAAGTTCCTGGACCTTTGTCTTTGTTTTATTCCTGTTTTAAGTTTCTTTGCTGTTGTTTTGCCTTTATTTATTTATTTATTTAAAAGTTTTGTACACCGGCCTTCTCACCTCTCTTGAGGGACTCAGACCGGTTTCCATCCATAATATCACATACAATCAATAAAACACCATAATACATATTACAGTAAAACATTAAAACAGCAATTACAATCAATAACTATAATGGTCAGTTGTCACACTAAAATCGTTGCTCATCATCCTCCATCCATATCTCAGGGTGTTGGCTCACTCGTCGAATGCCTGTCTCCATAACCAAGTCTTCACCTGTTTCCTAAATGTCAGGATAGAAGGGGCGGTTCTGATCTCCAGTGGGAGAGAGTTCCAGAGTCGAGGGGCCACCACCGAGAAGGCCCTGTCCCTCGTCCCCACCAGACGCGCTTGCGAGGCCGGTGGGACCGAGAGCAGGGCCTCTCCAGACGATCTTAATAATCTTGATGGTTCATAGGGGAGAATACGTTTGGAGAGGTAAACAGGGCCAGAGTCGTTTAGGGCTTTATAGGTTAACACCAGCACTTTGAATTGTGCTCGGAAGCTAATTGGCAGCCAGTGGAGCTGGTGTAACAGCGGAGTGGTGTGCTCCCTGTACCCAGCACCCGTTAGTAGTCTGGCTGCCGAGCGTTGGACTAGCTGCAGCTTCCAGGCAGTCTTCAGAGGCAACCCCCCTTTGAAATTAAGCCTCTAGTTTCATGTACTTCTTTGGACTATTTCTCTTTGGACTAATTGCTCCTTGTTCTTCGTAATCAATTGGATTTACCTCTTACTGTGGATTACTCTTTATTGCTTTGGCTTTTATTACCTTCAAAAAACTGCTTGCTATTTTAACTGCGTGGTGTTTAAAGTCAGAGAGATCCTGCTCTAGAAAGCTAGAAAACTAGAAAATGCTCCTCTACCTGTAATGGTTGTCTAGCACAGCTGAATTTGGCTGCCAATGCTTAATACCTGGCTGAATTCCTTTTTGTGTGTGGAGTGTTTTCACATTGGTTCTGACTTATGACAGCCCTATTAGCAGAAATTGATCCTGGTGGGAGTTCCCACTTTGCAAAGATTCAGTTGGATTTAGACCCAAGTGGTTGCATTTATGGTCTGATTTTCATAGTGGTTGCCTTCATCTATATCTCTGTTTTTATATATATATATATATATATATATATATATATATATATATAGCTAGCAGTTGTAGCTCCCGATTCCTGTTTCGTATGAGACCCAACCCTCCACCCTGCTGCAATTTGAAATCCACTATTTTGATATTATTTTAGTATAATCCCCGATCTTGCAAAAGTCATATGTCTTAGTTCAACCATTTATATCCTAGATTTCCCCTAGAGCCGTGCATAATCATGTCAAACACACACAAAGCAATAAATCAGCCAGTAGGCAATAAAAGCAAACGGTTTTCATCACAGCAAGAAAATTGCAATGAAAAATATAGTATTAGAAATGGTTCTATATTAAATCCTATGAATGCTGGTTTCTCGCCAAACGACAGATCCCAGGATACCAGGCAATGAGGCACGGCAGTTAAAAGTGGCGTCAAACTGCATTAACTACAGTGTAGATGTGCTCAGCATGCATTCCAGTTTATTGACCTCTTGCTTCCCTGCAGAATGTGAAGGCAGTGTCCGAAACTCCAGCTGTTCCCCCCGTTTCAGAAGACGAGGACGATGAGGACGAGGCCACTCCACCCCCGGTCATTGCTCCCCGCCCTGAGCACACCAAGTCCGTAAGTAGACCCCAAAGCAGGGCTCCGCTGGCTTGAGTGACCCTTTGCCCCTGGGGTCTTCATTCAGATGACTTGCTTACCCCAAGTAGGATCTCAACTGGGCAGAAAGAACAGCTCACATTCACTGGCTATGAGAACTGATGCTTAACAAGTTGTGTAACTAAATGGAAATTTGCTTTCTTCATTTTTGGATCATTTTTGGATGTTCTGCTGATTTGATAGATCTAAATTCCTCACTTTTGACCCCTAATTTGCTCTTTTGAGCAGTGGTGCTTTTATGGTGCTGTTTTTTCTCTCCTGATTGACCTGTCACTATCTATTGATTAGTCTGGCATTTGCAAGCATAACAACAACTACAACAACAACATGACAAACATAATATAAATTATATATAATAAAATATCTATATAAATAAAAATGTAATGTTTGTTTGTGGGATTAACAGAACTCAAGAACCACTGGATGAATTGACACCAAATTTGGACACAAGACACCTAACAACCCAATGTATGTCCTTCACTTTAAAAAAATGATTTTGTCATTTGGGAGTTGTAGTTGCTGGGATTTATAGTTCACCTACAATCAAAGAGCATTCTGAACCCCAATGATGGAATTGAACCAAACTTGGCACAAGTTCTCCATCACCAACAGAAAATACTGGAAGGGTTTGGTGGGCAGTGTCCTTTGGTTTTGGAGTTGTAGTTCACCTACATCCAGAGATCACTGTGGACTCAAACAATGATGGATCTGGACCAAACTCTACATGAATACTCAATATGCCCAAATGTGAACACTGCTGGAGTTTGGGGAAAATAGAATCTTGACATTTGGGAGTTGTAGTTGCTGGGATTTGTTTTTGAGTTATGTTAATCCCACAAATGAACATTACACACACACACACAAACACACACACACACACACTAGCCGTCCCCTGCCACGCATTGCTGTGGCCCACATGGGGGTTCTGTGTGGGAGGTTTGGCCCAGTTCTATCGTTGGTGGGGTTCAGAATGCTCTGTGATTGTAGGTGAACTATAAATCCCAGCAACTACAACTCCCAAATGTCAAGATTCTATTTTCCCCAAACTCCACCGTGTTCACATCTGGGCATATTGAGTATTCGTGTAGAGTTTGGTCCAGATCCATCATTGCTTGTGTCCACAGTGATCTCTGGATGTAGGTGAACTACATCTCCCAAACTCAAGGTCAATGCCCACCAAACCCTTCCAGTATTTTCTGTTGGTCATGGGAGTTCTGTGTGCCAAGTTTGGTTCAATTCCATCATTGGTGGAGTTCAGAATGCTCTTTGATTGTAGGTGAACTATAAATCCTAGCAACTACAACTCCCAAATGACAAAATCAAATTTTTTGAGTGATGGTCACTCTTGGGTTAGGCGGTGTCTTGTAGCCAAATTTGGTGTACATTCGCCCAGTTGTTTTTGAGTTATGTTAATCCCACAAAAGAACATTACATTTTTATTTATATAGATATATAGATAGATGATAGATAGATAGATAGATAGATAGATAGATAGATAGATACATACACATACATACATACATACATATACATATATTAAACTGCCTCTGCTTGCGGCTTGAGGAACATTGTGTGTGTGTAGGTTCTACTTTTCAACCTATTCCATTTTCTGACAGTGTTCCTGTCCCTAACCCATCCGTTAAGCAGGAACTTTGTATATTTCACAATGTGGGGAAATTATCATTTTGAGAGGCAGTTCTTTGAATCCTAGAGTTGGAAGCGACCTGGTGGGCCATCCAGTCCAATCTCATTCTGCCAAGAAGCAGGAAAATTGCATTCAAAGCACCTCCAACAGATGGCCATCCAGTTTCTGTTTAAAAGCCTCCAAATATGGAGCCTTCACCACACTCCGGGGCAGAGAGTTCCACTGTTGAACAGCTCTCACAGTCAGAAAGTTCTTCCTAATATTCAGGTGGAATCTTCTTTCCTGTAGTTTGAAGCCATTGTTCTGCGTCCTAGTCTCCAGGGAAGCAGAAAACAAACTTGCTCCCTCCTTCCTATGAGTTCCCCTCATATATTTTTACATGGCCATCATGTTTCCTCTCAATCAGAGCACTCCTGACAGATGGCCATTCAACTTCTGCTTAAAAAGCTCTAGAGAAGGAGATGTCAAACTGCTCTTCCTAATGTCAAACTGCTTCTTCCTAATGTTTCAATGCCATCTTTTCTTTTAGATATATACCCGGTCAGTGATCGAGCCCCTTCTGCCAGCCCCGACCCGAGACGTGGCCACCTCTCCGCTCCCGTCTCCAACAGAGAACAACACGACTCCCCCGGATACGCTGACGAGGAATGTCGAGAAACAGAAGAAGAAGCCCAAAATGACTGACGAAGAGATCTTGGAAAAATTAAGTAAGCCTTTCACTTGTTGGTTTATCAAATGTCATTTCAGTTTGTGACACTTTTGGGTTGTTGTAGGTTTTTCTGGGTTATATGGCTATGTTCTAGAAGCATTTTCTCCTGACATTTCGCCTGCATCTATGGCAAGCATCCTCAGAGGTAGTGAGGTCTGTTGGAAGTAGGAAAATGGGTTTATATATCATAGAATCATAAAATCATAGAATCAAAGAGTTGGAAGAGACCTCATGGGCCATCCAGTCCAACCCCCTGCCAAGAAGCAGGAATATTGCATTCAAATCACCCCTGACAGATGGCCATCCAGCCTCTGTTTCAAAGCTTCCAAAGAAGGAGCCTCTACCACACTCCGGGGCAGAGAGTTCCACTGCTGAACGGCTCTCACAGTCAGGAAGTTCTTCCTCATGTTCAGATGGAATCTCTCTTGTAGTTTGAAGCCATTGTTCCGCGTCCTAGTCTCCAGGGAAGCAGAAAACAAGCTTGCTCCCTCCTCCCTGTGGCTTCCTCTCACATATTTATACATGGCTATAATGTCTCCTCTCAGCCTTCTCTTCTTCAGGCTAAACATGCCCAGCTCCTTAAGCCGCTCCTCATAGGGCTTGTTCTCCAGACCTTTGATCATTTTAGTCTCTTCCTCTGGACACATTCCAGCTTGTCAATATCTGTGGAATGACCAGGGTGGGACAAAAGACTCTTGTCTGCTGGAGCTAGGTATGAATGTTTCAACTGACCACCTTAATTAGCCATGAAAGCCTTTGACAATACATGTGGCACTTTTGTTTACACTGTGGTGCGGTTGTTACGGCTTCACGCCATTGTGGTTTCCATCCAAAGCATTTCTTGCCCATCTTCGCATCGTGTCTCTCATGATGCTTCTTGGCCGGCTGAAGTGCGAGATTTATCACTCTTTGTTTTCTGTCATCTTTCGAAGACCTTTCACAGCGATGTCAGCCCTGGGTTACGTGATAGCTGAGCTTTCCCAAAATGTACGACACGCACGATCGTACGTGTTAACTTTGAATGTCAGAGATACCTCGAAGTGTCTTTGAATCTCAAGGCCTTCGGGTGCGTGAGACCGCCTCCTAACTGGGTTGGAAAATGCAGGTGAACGAACAAACCTAAAGCTTGGAAGTATTGCTTTAAAAAAATAATCCCTTCCTGTATTGTCGAAGGCTTTCATGGCCGGAATCACTGAGTTGTTATAGGTTTTTTCGGGCTATATGGCCATTTTCTCCTGATGTTTTGCCTGCATCTATGGCAAGCATCCTCAAAGGTAGTGAGGTCTGTTGGAACTAGAAAAATGGGTTTATATATCTGTGGAATGACCAGGGTGGGACAAAGAACTCTCGTCTGTTGGAGCTAGGTGTGAATGTTTCAACTGACCTTGATTAGCATTTGATGGCCTGGCAGTGCCTGGAGCAATCTTTTGTTGAGAGGTGATTAGATGTCCCTGCCTGCTTCCTCTCTGTTGTTGTGCTGTTGCAATTTTAGAGTTTTTTTAATACTGGTAACCAGATTTTCTTCATTTTCTGGCTACCAGTATTTAAAAAACTCTAAAACAACAACAGAGAGGAAACAAACAAGGACATCTAATCACCTCTCAACAAAAGATTGCTCCAGGCACTGCCAGGCAATCAAATGCTAATCAAGGTGGTCAGTTGAAACATTCACACCTAGCTCCAGCAGACAAGAGTCCTTTGTCCCACCCTGGTCATTCCACAGATATATAAACCCTTTTTCCTAGTTCCAACAGACCTCACTACCTCTGAGGATGCTTGCCATAGATGCAGGCGAAACGTCAGGAGAAAATGCCTCTAGAACATGGCCATATAGCCCGAAAAAACCTCCAACAACCCAGTAATCCCTTCGTGCTGCTCCTCACCACTTCTAAGAAATCAATTATTCATATCCCTTGCAGTGTTTTTTAGGGAGAAAAGTTCCTTTCTGTTTTTATGGGGAGGAATTGATAAGAGGACGGGATAAAACCTTTCAGACTCTCGTCAAAATCCCTAAGCATGTTAAAGGAGCATAAATATGCAAGTTCTGGTCATCAAAGTAGAAACTATAAGAAAAATGGGAAATGCATCTCTGGATGCAGTTTCCAAGACTCTTTCGAAAAGCGTGGAAGTGGGTTGTTGTGAGTTTGTGTTGTCGAAGGCTTTCATGGCAGGAATCACTGGGTTGCTGTGAGTTTTCCAAGCTGTATTTCCATGTTACAGAAGCATTCACTCCTGACATTATGGCGGGCATCCTCAGAGGTTGTGAGGTCTGTTGGAAACTAGGAAAATGGGGTTTATATGTCTCTGGAAAGTCCAAGGTTGGGGAAAGGCAAGTGCGAATGTTTCCATTGGCCACCTTAATTAGCATTTGATAGCCTGACTGTTTTTAGGTGTGGCTTGTTACTGCCTGGGGGAATCCTTTGTTGAGAGGTGATTAGGTGTTCCTGATGGTTTCTTGTCTGGAGTTCCCCTGTGTTTGAGTTTAGTTTTTACAGCCTAGCAGTTTTAAGGTATGGCTTCTTACTGGCTGGGGCAGGCCTGTAGCCAGGATTTTGATTCGGAGGGGCGGGGGGGGGGCTGAGTTTGTTTTGGTGGTGGGGCTGAAGATCTACCTAGCAAAACTTTTGTATTGTTATCCCAATACCCCCATGCATATGAGATATATTGAGCATGCTGATCAGATCATGATATGAATAAGCATAACAGTTTAAATAATGTACCAGTAAGGCCTTCTTGTGGACCACCCTGAGAATTTCGTGGGGAGGGCTGAAGCCCCTCAAGCCCCCCCCCCCCGGCTACATGCCGGGGCTGGGGGAATCCTTCATGGGGGGGGGGTAATTAGCTGGCTCTGACCACCTCCCAACAAAGGATTTCTCCAGGCAGTAAGAAGCCACACCTTGAAACTGCTAGGCCATCGAATGCTAATCAAGGTGGCCAATTGAAACATTCACACTTGCCTCAAGCAGACAAGAGTTCCTTCTCCCACCCTGGACATTATTCCACAGTTATATAAACCCCATTTTCCTAGTTTCCAACAGACTTCACAACCTTTGAGGATGCCTGCCATAGATGCAGGCGAAATGTCAGGAGTGAGTTCGACTGGATGGCCTTTGGGGTCTCTTCCAACTCAAGGATTCCAGGATTGTTCTGTTTGTATCACGGTAAAATAGTAAAATAGTAATCTTTGGAGAAGACAATGACGCTGGGGAAAATGGAAGGAAAAAGGAAGAGGGGCCGACCAAGGGCAAGATAGATGGATGGTATCCTTGAAGTAGCTGGATTGACCTTGAAGGAGCTGGGGGAGGTGATGGCCGACAGGGAGCTCTGGCGTGGGCTGGTCCATGAGGGCACAAAGAGTTGGAAACGACTGAATGGGTGAACAATAACAACAAAAATAGTAATCTATCCCTATCTATTCCATGTTATTTCTGCCTCTGGGATCAAATTTACTGAAGCTTCGATAGAGACTAAATACAGGAAAGTAGGCTATTATTAGTATTAGTATTGATTTCCTGGCAGAAAAACATGTCTCGGTTTTCAAAAGCACCCCATTTTCCTCCTTAAAATAAATTTTTGACTCAAATTTCCATTTTCTTTTCTATTCAAAGGAGGCATCGTAAGTGTGGGAGATCCCAAGAAGAAATACACTAGTTTTGAGAAGATTGGACAAGGGTAAGCCTATGGTTGTCACCTTCTTCCAGCCCTTCTGTCTCTTGAGAGGAAGACATTTCTTTCTTGGAACAGTCGAATTGCTAGAATTTCCCTTTTTGAGCTCAAGTTGTGATAGGGCCTGATGTCATTGGGGCGCCTATGGTCTCATGCAAACACAACCATTGGCAAGAGCGACGAGTGCTGCGACTCAAGTGGCACTTTCCTGAGCCTGAGCAGAAGCTCTCCGAAGCTTTAGGTGCTCTTACTGCCTATTACAGGGAAAACGATCTGATTCCTAATCCATCTGAAACACAGATGTGTTCTTTTCATCTTACGAACAGACAAGCATCTCGAGCTCTGACAATTATCTGGGAAGGAATCCCTTTGGAGCATTGCAGCACACTCAAATACCTGGGAGTCACTCTGGATCGTGCTCTGAATTACAAGAAGCACTGCTTGACTATCAAGCAAAAAGTGGGTGCTAGAAATAATATCATACGAAATCTGATGGGCACAATATGAGGATCACAACCAGACACATCTTCCCTTGTGCTTGGCTACTCTGCTGAATACGCCTGCCCAGTGTGGAATACATCTCACCACGTTAAAACAGTGGATGTGGCTCTTAATGAGACATGTTGCATTATCACAGAATTTCTACACCCTACACTGCTGGACAAATTACACTGTTTAGCTTGTATTTCACCACCTGACATCTGCTGGGAAATAGCAGCCAGCAATGAAAGGACCAAGGCATTCACATCTTCGGACCATCCTCTGTTTGGATATCAGCCAGCATGCCAATGCCTTAAATCAAGAAATGGCTTCCTAAGATCAACTTGCAGGAACACCTCAGCAAGCAAGAGTTCAAAAGTGGCAAACTATTTATTTATTTATTTATTTATTTACAGTATTTATATTCCGCCCTTCTCACCCCGCAGGGGACTCAGGGCGGATTACAATGTACACGTATATGGCAAACATTCAATGCCAAAGACACACAACAGATATAGACAAACAGTCAGAGGCTATTTAACTTTTTCTGGCCGCCAGGGGAGCTGTCGCTTTCATCGTCCATCTGTGACACTGATGAAGAACTTCCGCATTCCCTGCATGCTTTTGCTGGAGTGCTTTGCTGGAGTTTTTTTTAATGGCCTTGTAAATTAGTTAAATTAGCCTCCCCACACATAGGTGGTACCTAATTTTCCTATTTGACAGATGCAGCTGTCTTTCGGGTTGCAAAGGTCAACAACAAGCTACACAATTGGTCGGAAGCTCACTCCAACCTGGGCTGGCTTCGAACTCATGACCTTATGGTCAGAAGTGATCTTAATGCAGCTGACACTCAGACAGCTGTGCCACAGTCCCAGTTCTCAGGCTAAGACCCGGAACCTGAGTAGCTGAGACTGGATGACAGACTCCCTCCTTGGCACACAGAAGACTGGGAGACATGGAAGGCACTGAACAGGCGCTGCTCTGGGACAACAAGATGCAGAGCCAATGTTAAAAAAATGGGGCTACAAAGTGGAGTCTATGACATGCAAGTGCGGAGAAGAGCAAACCATAGACCACTTACTACAATGCAGCCTGAGCCCTGCCACATCCACAATGGAGGGCCTTCTTACAGTGACACTAGAGGAACTCCAAGTGGCCAGCTACTGGTCAAAAGACATTTAGCATAATGCCCAGTTTAATTCTGATTATGTTTTTAAATGCATTTTAAATATACCTTCAACTTGCTTCTGATACGATAAATAAATAAATTCCCTGAGCTGTGCTCCACTTGGCCTTCCCTCCTACTGCCCAGCGTCGACCTGGAGAGGTTGATGTGGCAGTGCTGCTCTACCATCACTGCCATTTCCCGCTAACGTGCCATGACCTTGCTGCTAGCTAGCCATAATCTGAAGTTACTTCAACTCACTGATACCTTATAAGATGACAGTACTGGGGAATTTTACCAATCAGCCCCCCTTTGACCATCAACTTAGTGCTGAAACTGGGCTTGGCTTGGCTTGGGGCCGTTGGCTTCTCTCCTGCAAAGATACAGAAAGCAGGATGCCTGGCTCGAGAGCAGTACGTGTGAAAAAGACCTTGATGTCTTCATGGACAAGTTAAACATGAGCCAACAATGTGATGCGGTGGCAAAAAAACCCAATGGGATTTTGACTTGCATCAATAGGAGCATAGTGTCTAGATCCAGGGAAAGTCATGCTACCCCTCTATTCTGCCTTGGTTAGACCACATATGGAATGCTGTGTCCAATTCTGGACACCACAATTGAAGATATTGACAAGCTGTAATGTGTCCAGAGAAGGGCAACTAAAATGATCAAGGGTCTGGAGAACAAGCCCTATGAGGAGCGGCTTAAGGAGCTGGGCATGTTTAGCCTGAAGAAGAGAAGGCTGAGAGGAGACATGATAGCCATGTATAAATATGTGAGAGGAAGTGATAGGGAGGAGAGAGCAAGCTTGTTTTCTGCTGCCCTGGAGACTGGGATGCAATGGAACAATGGCTTCAAACTACAAGAAAGGAGATTCTATCTGAAGAACTTCCTGGCTGTGAGAGCTGTTCAGCAGTGGAACTCTCTGCCCCACAGTGTGGTGGACGCTCCTTCTTTGGAGGCTTTGAAACAGAGGCTGGGTGGCCATCTGTCAGAGGTGCTTTGAATGCAGTTTTCCTGCTTCTTGGCAGAATGGGGTTGGACTAGATGGTCCACTAGGTCTCTTCCAACTCTATGATTTTATGATGTCATGAGCTCATTGTTTAATGTAGATGCCACCTTGAGATAAAAAGTACACAACCGTATAATAGCAGTAGGATATTGTGTGGCATTGAATTGTTTGTGAATACAATTTTAGGGCTGAGTTCTAAAGTTGTCTTCTTCTGTTCTAGTGCTTCAGGGACTGTTTATACAGCCATGGATGTAGCTACAGGACAAGAGGTGAGTGTTAAGACAGAGAACCCCTAAATATTGCTTTTGGGGAGGTGCAGAATTGGACCCAAAATACTCAAAACAGTTGCAAATGTGTATTGTCGAAGGCTTGCATGGCTGGAATCACTGGGTTGCTGTAAGTTTTTGGGCTGTATGGCCATGTTCCAGAAGTCTCTCCTGACGTTCGCCACATCTATGGCAGGTATACTCAGAGGTTGTGAGGGACTCACAACTCTGAGGATGCCTGCCATAGATGAGGTGAAATGTCAGGAGAGAATGCTTCTGGAACATGGCCATACAGAGGAAGCATTAGTGAGCACTCTCTGTGTTCGTCCACTTAACCAATTACATTTGGAAGGTAGAGAAACATTGTATTGTCGAAGGCTTTCATGGCTGGAATCACTAGGTTCTCGTGTGTTTTTTTGGGCTATATGGCCATGTTCTAGAGGCATTTCTCCTGACGTTTTTGCCTGCATCTATGGCAAGCATCCTCAGAGGTAGTTCTCAACCTCTGAGGAAGCTTGCCATAGATGCAGGCGAAACGTCAGGAGAAATGCCTCTAGAACATGGCCATATAGCCCGAAAAAACCCACAAGAACTGAGAAAAATAGAAAATATTATGGATATAAAAATTAGGAGGAATCAAGTAGAAATATTACTTTTAATTTAAAAAGGGGATGAGAAAGATAAAAGAGGAAAATTATTAATAGACACGCTATTAACAGCAGCTGGATTATTAATTGCAAAATATTGGAAAGGGGAAATGAAAATACAGATTAATGAATGGTATGAAGTCTGGAAAATGGCACTGAACAATAAGCTAACATCAAACTTAAAAGTAAAGAAGGGATTATGTAAAAAATGACTTTGAAAGTGTTTGGAGAAAATTTCTAGAAAAAATATTGGAAAAAGAAGATGAGAATTTTTATTTTTACAATACAAAAAAAAAATACAGTGCACACACAAAACATTTACAATTCCCACCATCAACACGAGGATTGTTTTCTTTTACATATTCATTTCTTTTTGAGACAATCATTATATCTTTATCTTTATACATTTTCATCCTGTATACTATATAACATTTGTATCTTATTTCTTATGGCTTGATCTCCAGAATGATTCATAATATAGTTCTTTACCCTTGTCCATCTTTCTTCTGTTTCTCTCATTCTATTTTCATTTATTTTAAAATCATTTAATAATTTAATTGATAGGAAAGGTCAGGCAGCAACCTGATTTCTAAGTTCTTGTGGGTTTTTTCGGGCTATATGGCCATGTTCTAGAGGCATTTCTCCTGACGTTTCGCCTGCATCTATGGCAAGCATCCTCAGAGGTGAGGTCCTGATTTCTTGTGGGAGACAGCACAAGGGATTAGCTCTCTAGACTGAGTTAGTTAGCTGGAAGAACTCTGGGAAGAGTTAGCTGATAACTCAGGGGACTGCCTAAGATAAGTTAGTCAGTAACTCATTACTATTTCTCTGAAGTAGAGTGAGGGATTTTTGTAACCAGCAGCTAGATCTGTTTGATTAGCTCTGTATGTAACTAAGTGAAGAAACTCTTTTCAAGCAACCATCAAGCTATTGGACTTTTGTAACAAGTCAAGCGTTTTGTGCCTCTCAGAAGAAGTTACTTGGCTGTTTTTATAAATCTTTTTCTATTTGTCTTTTAAAAAGTCTCCATCGTTCCTCAATCTATTAGAAATCCTTTGTGATAATTCCAGCCTCTTTAACAACCTCATACCACAGAAAAGTCTCTTATCCAAACAATCATTTTGGGAGCTAAGGGAAGAGCAGTGTTGGCAGAAAGGGAAAAAGTTTACCTCAAAAACTCATTTTAAAAATGCTAAGACAGCTTGGGTTGGTGGCAGCATTTAACCAAAAGAAGACTAAAAGACAAGCAGTGTACACCCTACCATTACACACATCTAAGATCATCTCGCTACCATACTAGTGTCCAGTGGTGTGATGTTACATTACAAATAATTCTTCACAGTGGTGTTCAGCTGTGGGATATCTTATACATACTATTAGTATATTGGTGGCACGTGGCGTGATTTATAATAGTATATATATTGTGATCCTTTACAACTGTCCATTTAAATTTATCTTTCCACCCTAATACTATTACTGCTTGTGCACATTCTATTATTGCTTCTTTTATTTCCCTTTTATTTTATTTGGAACACGGAATATCGGATAACGAGTTTGGATGCTGATTTCAGTGATGAGACCTGATGGATTTGTTATATTGATGTAGTGATGTATTGATATTGATGTTTAATGATTTGTGATGCTATTGCTTTTAAATGCTTAATGATTTTGTATTGTGGATACCTAAATTGTTGTAAACTGCTCTGAGTCGCCTAAGGGCTGAGAAGAGCGGTATACAAATAAAGTAAATAAATAAATAAATAAATAAATTTTATTTCGCATTTCCTCTCTTTTCCCTAATACTGCTATAGGGAAAAAAGTGTTAGTTGGCCATTCAACACCTCCCAACAAAGGATTCCCCCAGGCAGCAACCAGCCAAGCTTTGCAGTTGCGAAACTATTCAGTGTTAATAATCAAGGTGGCCAATGGCATCATTCACATTTGCCTCAAGCAGACAATCATCATCATCATCATCATCATCATCTTTATATCTTGCCACCATCTCCCCAAAGGGGACATGGGGCGGCTAACATGAGGCCAAGCCAAAAATAATACAGCAAAATTAAACACATAATAACAGAAAAATTACATCACAGCAAAATACATGAAGTAACAAAAAATAAACAGACAAGAGTTCTTTGTCCCACCCTGGACATTTTACAGATATACAGATTTACAGAAGCTTTTAAACAGAGGCTGGATGGCCATCTGTCAGGGGTGATTTGAATGCAATATTTCTGCTTCTTGGCAGAATGGGGTTGGACTGGATGGCCCATGAGGTCTCTTCCAACTCTATGATTCTATGATTCTATATAAACCCCATTTGCCTAGTTTCCAGCAGACCCCACAACCTCTGAGGAAGCCTGCCATAGATATGGGCAAAACGTCAGGAGAGAATGCTTCTGGAACATGGCCACACAGCCTGGAAAACTCACAGCAACAACCCATTGATTCCTGCCATGAAAGCCTTCGACAACACGAAGTACTGTGTGTTAGGTTAAAAATACTGTTAAAATATAATAAATACAACAAAAATGCATTTAAAATACACACAATCAGTTTTGGAGATAGAAGTGCTTTGGACAATGAAAACGAATAATCACGGTGCTTCGTTTTCTCTCTTTCTACAAATGATATCATTCAGGTTGCCATCAAGCAGATGAACTTGCAGCAGCAGCCCAAGAAAGAGCTCATCATCAATGAAATTCTGGTCATGAGGGAAAACAAGAACCCCAACATTGTCAACTATTTGGACAGGTATTTTCGGTCTCCGGGGAGGGAAATGTGTGCGTTGGGGAGGTGAATGTTGTTTGAGTCTGCATTAGTAAAATAATAGGTTGTCCATGTTGAGGCTAATAATAATAATAATAATAATAATGGCACAAGCCAGTCAAGGTAGTCCCAAGTGTCTAGGACTGTGTGATGTATCGGCGAATAATACATGCAGATTCCAGTAAGGTGGCCTTCTGCAGCTGGCAGATGGTAATTTTGTCAGCATCGATTGTGTTTAAGTGCAGGCCAAGGTCTTTAGGCACTGCACCCATTGTGCCAATCACCACTGGGATCACCTTGACTAGCTTGTGCCAGAGTCTTTGCAGTTTGATCTTTAAATCCTCATATTGTGTCAGCTTTTCCAGTTGTTTATTTATTACACTTATTATTTTACTTTGTTATTGTTGTTATTATTACATTTATTATTTACTCTATTATTGCTATTACATTTATTATTTTACTCTATTATTACATTTACATTATTCTACTCTATTATTATTACTTTTATTATTTTACACACACATACATCTACATACACACAAATTGTCAAGACCCAGAAGCCTTTAAACAATGCCAGACACAAAAAATAATCTTTCAAACACAGCTTTATTGCATACAAATGGACCTAAAAAGCACTTAACTTCAGTGCTGAAGGTCTCAGGAATGATTTGGCATCAAAAAGAAGTTGTTACAAGAAACAAAAATATAATCCGGATTATAGCGCTGCCTTGTAATCCGGTTTAAACAAATGGTGAAGCAAACTGCTTGAAAATCGAAATGGCACAAAAACACAGTCACAAAAGCAGGAAAAACGTGGTTTCAAAGCTAGGAAATGTTTCAGTCACAAAGATATTAGAGTTCAAAGTCCAGAAAAGCCAAGAGCGTAGTCAAACTGGTCTGTGGTCAATCCGTTGGAAAACAAGGCTGGAATGCTGGAATCACCGAAGAAACAGAGTTTCAGGAACACACGAAGCTGTAGCCCAGGACCCAAGGTTGAAAGTTGGCAGCACAAAGAATTATGTCCTATAAAGACACTTTGCCTTCTGCGACTAGATGTGCAAACAGAACCCACTTTCATCTCAAAGATCTTGAAGAGCTTGATGAGCTCTTCCACCCTCTCAAAGAGCTTGATGAGCTCCCCACCCTCTCGTCATCACTATCAGCTGCCCCCAAGCCTGCAGCTGAGTGCCCATCCCTCCACCTCTGCCAATTACTGTCAGGGTTCAGATCCTGCCAAGAGTCACCTGGCTGCCAGTCCCCAGTGAACCCCTCAAACTCCTCGCTAGAGGTGGGCTGATTACAGATGTCCCTTATTTGCTGCACACGGGTCCAATCCAATTCCTTCTCCTCCATATCACTCCCAGACCCAGAACTCCTCTCCAATCCCAGAAAGTCTTCCTCGTCAGTTGGTGCACTAAGTATTTCCCGAATGCGTTAACTTTGTAATTCCCCCTCAAACTCAGACTCCCCCTCACGAGCAGCCCTTTTTTACACCTCTGCTCACCTCTCCATCCCCCATCTCGTAATCAGAGAAACCTGGAGACGTGTCAGTATCACTCGGAGCCATAATGATTTCTCTAATGCGCTGATGCTGCTGTTCTCCCTCCGACTCCTGAGTAGACCTTTCCACTCTGCTACTAGGAGTAGCAACTCCGTCAACCCGCTGAACTACAACACAAATATATACATGCACACATATATAAACACAAATATGCATATAGACAAGCACACACATATACACAATATAAATATACACATATAAACACACAAATATATACACACACATATATATACACATCTTCACACACAAAGATATGCTTCAAACAGGTTGGGTGGTGCCTTACACAGCCTTCTAATTTAGCAGGTAAACAGTTTCGAATATGGTTTTAATGAAAGGTTGTACTCATCTCTATGAATCCACCCGTTCTTTTGAGTCAGGGACAGGGATCTCCTGTTCTGCAGAGTTCCCCACCTCCACCTCCATTTCCTCCTTCGTCAGAAACCTTCTGGAAAGGCAATTAGGTGATGAATCCCTGCTGTTAGCTCTGCTCACACATCCAAAGAACATAGGGATTCATGACTCTTTTCCAGTGAGTTTTAAGTGCCAAGTCAACCAGCAAATAATGGTTTGTAAAGAGACAAACACAAGCAACCAACGATTCCATAGATCAGTGTTTCTCAACCTTCCTAATGCCGGGACCCCTAAATACAGTTCCTCATGTTGTGGTGACCCCCAACCATAAAATTATTTTCCTTGCTTATTCATAAGTGTAATTTTGCTACTGTTGTGAATCGTCATGTAAATATCTGATATTTAGGATGTATTTTCATTCACTAGACCAAATTTAGCACAAATTTCAGATACACCCAAATTTGAATACTGGTGGGATTGGGAGGGGTTGATGTTGTCATTTGGGAGTTGTAGCTTGCTGGGATTTATAGTTCACCTACAATCAAAGAGCACTCTGAACTCCACCAATGATGGAATTGAACCAAACTGGGTACACAAAACTCCCATAACCAGCAGAAAATACTGGAAGGGTTTGGTGGGCATTGACCATGAGTTTTGAAGTTGTAGTTCACCTACATCCAGAGAGCACTATGGACTCAAACAATGATGGATCTGGACCAAAATTGGCATGAATACTCAATATGCCCAAATGTAAACACCGGTGGAGTTTGGGGGGAAATACATCTTGACATTTGGGAGTTGTAGTTGCTGGGATTTATAGTTCACCTACAATCAAAGAGCTCTCTGAACCCCACCAATGATAGAATTGAGCCAGACTTGGCACACAAAACTCCCATGACCAACAGAAAATAACTGGAAGGGTTTGATGGGCATTGACCTTGCGTTTTGGAGTTGTAGTTCACCTACATCCAGAGAGTGCTGTGGACTCAAATAATGATGGATCTGGACCAAAATTGGCATGAATACTCAAAATGCCCAAATGTAAACACCGGTAGAGTTTGGGGGAAAATAGACCTTGACATTTGGGAGTTGTAGTTGCTGGGATTTATAGTTCACCTACAATCAAAGAGCACTCTGAACTCCACCAATGATGGAATTGATCCAAACTTAGCACACAGAACTCCCATGACCAACAGAAAATACTGGAATGGGTTATGTGGGCATTGACCTTGAGTTTTGGAGTTGTAGTTCACCTACATCCAGAGAGTGCTGTGGACTCAAATAATGATGGATCTGGACCAAAATTGGCATGAATACTCAATATGCCCAACACTAGTGGAATTTGGGGAAAACAGATCTCGACATTGGGAGTTGTAGTTGCTGGGATTTATAGTTCACCTGCAATCAAAGAACATTCTGAACCCCACCAATGATAGAATTGGGGCAAGCGTCCCACACAGAACCCCCATGTTTTCTGATGTTCTTTTGGAACCCCTCTGACTTCCCAGGGGTCCAGACCCCCAGGTTGAGAAACCCTGACCTATATGCTGCTGCTTTCCTCAAATTACTGTTGTTCAGTGAGGATTCTGGGACTTGGCATCTCCCCCTCCTCCTTTAAAATTTTCCAAGTTTTACTTTTATACGATCTGTATACTTAAAGGGAGAGGCTTCAACCTGGAGAATAATGAGGCTCTTGTTTGGGTACTGTACCTTTTAGTTAGAAACATTAGACGAAATGAGCCCTATATCCAACCGTAGGTTGAACGTTGCAAGAAATGTTTTCCTCCAGCCGTCCTGCCAACAAGGTTTGAAAGATCAGCGGTTTCCCACAGAATGTCACACCTCTCCCATAATAATTTCACCAACTCCTTAAATAGGATGGAAGGTTTTGCATTGACAATGACAAGCCTGTTCAGAAGACCATAAGGTCTTGTTAGCTTGGCACAAATCTCCAGCTTCAAGTAAATATTGCTTTTAAAACAGACAGTGGACCATTGAGTATTGGATGGAGACCTCCACCCATCTTATAAACCTGGCATTTATGGCTGTAGCTTATGTTCAAGGCATATTTAAATGAGAAGATTGTGCTAAAATATATGAATATTGGTAAATTTCTTCCATTTGCACAGCATGTGAGAGGTAACCACAAGTGCATAAATACAAGGGTTGAATAAAAAGTAATGCCTCCACCTTCGTAACTCCATAATAATAATAATAATAATAATAATAATAATAATAATAATAATTTATTTATACCCCGCTCCATCTCCCCCAGGGGGACTCGGGACGGCTTACATGAGGCCACGCCCATCAACACAATAAACACAATATTACACAAAAGCATAACACAATATAACACAAAGCATAACAGAACCAAAAAACATAAAATGCAAAACCAAAATAATAAACGAGACAGCAATATAAAATCGGACATTAAACACACAGGAATTACACGGGCAAGGCCAAATTTAAGGATAAAAATTTAAAATTTTAAAACGCTGGGAGATTGGGCAATGGAAATTATTGGGGAGGGAGATCCGGATTGAGGAAGGAATTAATTGCACGAACCAAAAAGTAAAGTGCTTCTGAGGTCATTTGTGCAAAATTTGGTCAGTGAGTATCTTACATTCAATCATTGAAGGCACATTGGAATGACCAGGTTTTCAGATTCCTCCTGAAGATTGCCAGTGTGGGGGCTTGCCTAATATCTCTGGGGAGTGAATTTCAGAGCCGGGGGGCCACCGCAGAGAAGGCCCTTTCTCTCATCCCCACAAGTCGCACTTGCAATGTAGGGGGGAGCGAGAGAAGAGTGTCTCTGGAAGATCGAAGGGGTCGTGTGGGTTTGTAGACGGAAATGCGGTCACTCAGGTAGGCGGGTCCCAAACTGTTCAGGGCTTTGTAGGTCAAAACCTGCATCCTCAACAGATGGCAGTGCTGGTATGTGGCAGGTACTGGCTTGTTCAGTAGACTCTCCTCTACAGTTCCATTTTGGCAGGAAGCCTTAGCATTGAATGGTTGTGTTGTTAAAGTGCAAAGTATGGAACCCTGCGCAGATGGTTGGTCAATACGACTTAAGCAACGTGCAGTCATTGAATTCTTGACAGCAGAAGGTGTCATCCCAAAGGAGATTCATCAGAGAATGCAAGCTGTTTATTGTGATTGTGTTGATGTGAGTAGTGTGCATCACTGGGTGAGAAAGTTTAAAGATGTTGAGGTGGGAACATCTGACTTGCGTGACAAACAGAGTTGGATGTCCTGTGACAGCAACCACTGAGTTTCACAACCAAAAGGTTGACAGATTGATTCAGGACGATTGTCGTATCACTCAATGAGAAATTTCAAGCATAATTGGCATTTTACAAGAACGTGTGGGTCACATTATTATTTGCTTGGCTATCGGAAGATCTGTGCACGATGGGCTGTGGAAACAGAGTGACGACTTCTTCCGTGACTTCTTCCATGATGGCAGAAATGTATCCAATTGTCTGGTGATTATGTGGAAAAGTGAATAGTGGTAGTTAAAGAGCACATTCTAAGGATTATTTCTGCATTTGATTTATTAAAATATTCCCATCCAAACCCAAGTAACGAAGGTGGAGGCATTACTTTTCATTCAACCCTCGTATTTCTACGTTTGTTTTGGCAGCCTTAATTCTGGGACACTAGAATGTCTCTCAAAGTTCAGCACACAATATACTGATTCTGCAATAGAATCATACAATCCTAGAGTTGGAAGAGACCTCATGGGGCATCCAGTCCAACCCCATTCTGCCAAGAATGGGCATGTTTAGCCTGAAGAAGAGAAGGCTGAGAGGAGATATGATAGCCATGTATAAATATGTGAGAGGAAGCCACAGGGAGGAGGGAGCAAGCTTGTTTTCTGCTTCCTTGGAGACTAGGACATGGAACAATGGCTTCAAACTACAAGAGAGGAGATTCCATCTGAACATAGGAAGAACTTCCTGACTGTGAGAGCCGTTCAGCAGTGGAACTCTCTGCCCCGGAGTGTGGTGGAGGTTCCTCCTTTGGAAGCTTTTAAACAGAGGCTGGAATGGCCATCTGTCAGGGGTGATTTGAATGCAATATTCCTGCTTTGGCAGGGGGTTGGACTGGATGGCCCATGAGGTCTCTTCCAACTCTTTGATTCTATGATTCTATGATTCTATGATTCTAAGAAGCAGGAAAGTCACATGCAAAGCACCCCTGACAGATGGCCATCCAGCCTCTGTTTAAAAGCCTCCAAAAACAGAGCCTCCGCCACACTTTGGGGTTGAGAGTTCCACTGCTGAACAGCTCTCACAGTCAGGAAATCCTTCCTAATGTTCAGGCAGAATCTCCTTTCCTGTAGTTTGAAGCCATTGTTCCATTGCGTCCTAGTCTCCAGGGCAGCAGAAAACATGCCTGCTCCCTCTTCCCTATGACTATATGAGGGCCATATATATATTTATATATGGTCCTCATCTTGCCTCCTCTCAGCCTTCTCTTCTGCAGGCTCAACATTCCCAGTTCTTTAAGCCGCTCCTCATAGGGCTTGTTCTCCAGACTCTTGATCATGTTAGTCGCCCTCCTCTGGACACCTTCCAGCTTCAAGTCAACATTCCCATCAATTGCGGTGCCTAGAACTGGATACTGTGTGATTCCAGATGTGGTCTGACCAAGACACAATAGAGGGTAGCATGATTTCCTTGGATCTAGGCACTAGACTCCACTTGATGCAGGCCAAAATCCCATTGTCTTTTTTAGCCACCACATCACATTGTTGGCTCATGTTTAACTTGTCCCCGGGGATTCCCAAGATCTTTTTCACATGGTTTCTTTATAATAGCACATTATTTGAGAACACAGAAATGCTGGACCACTCTAACAGGCTACACAGAGAAGCCATTGAAATCCACAAGCATGTGGACAATTTTAACAGAAAGGAAGAAACCATGAAAATGAACAAAATCTGGCTACCAGTATTTAAAAAACTCTAAAATTATAACAGTAAATAAAGAACAAAACTCAAACACAGGGGAACTCCAGACAAGAAACAATCAGGAACAACTAATCAGCTCTCAACAAAGAATTTCCCAGGTAATAACAAGCCACACATAAAAACTGTCAGCTAATCAAGGTAGCCAATGGAAACATTCACACCTAGCTCCAACAGACAAGAGTTCTTTCTCCCACCCTGGACTTTCCACAGATATATAAACCCAATTTTCCTAGTTTCCAACAAACCTCACAACCTTTGAGGATGCCTGCCATAGATGCAGGCGAAACATCGGGAGAATGCTTCTAGAACATGGCCATACAGCCCGAAAAACCTACAACAACCCAATGATTCCGGCCATAAAAGCCTTCGACAACACATTATTTATATGTGTTCAAGGCTACTCATATAATGTATCTCCATCCTAACTACAACTAAAGTCTGTCGAGAAGATAGTAGTGACCATAAGGTCACAGCCCCATGATGACATTGTCCTCTCCTTGCAATGTTGCAGACACACAGCCACGTTGGGCTCATCCTCTTTCTGAAGTGAGATCTGAGCTGCTCTGAATCATTTCTCTTTTTCCTCTCCCACTGAGACCGGAGCTGAAAGGATGCTGAGTCTGCTACTTTGCCAGAAACACGACTGTGTTCAGATCCTCCGAGGTGCAGAGATTGAACTCTCTCCCTCTGGTTGTTCCTGGAGCCGTTTCTCTTCTCTCCATGCTGCCCTTTTAAAATTACAGCTTATTCCGTAGAGTTTTGTTTTATTAATTACTTGAGCTTTTAAAAAACTATCCTGAGTGCCTCATGTTAAGAGAGACAGGTGAGATGGACCAGGGGATACTTAGGTTTTGTTGAGCTAGAATATAGTCACTTATTACCCTATATACAAATTAGACCCATGTCTGATTCCACAGCAAGCTGGCTTCAGGAAAGGCAAAAGCTGCACATCGCAAGTGTTGAACCCGACTCAGCACATAGAAGATGGCTTTGAAAGGCAGCAGATCACAGGAGCTGTCTTCATAGACCTGTCAGCAGCCTATGATACTGTGAACCACCGCCTCCTCCTGAGAAAAATGTATAATATCACAAAGGACGACCACCTCACCCGCCTCATAGGAAACCTGCTACAAAACAGGAGCTTCTTTGTTGAGTCCCAGGGCCAGAGAAGCAGAGGGCGGAAACAGAAGAACGGCCTGCCTCAGGGGAGTGCTTGCTCCATCCATGTTCAACATCTACACAAATGACCAGCCACTGCCAGAAGGGACAGAGAGTTTCATCTATGCAGATGATCGTGCCATCACTGCTCAAGCAGGGAGCTTTGTGAGGGTTGAACAGAAGCTCTCCGAAGCTCTAGGTGCCCTTACCACCTACTACAGGGAAAACCAGCTGATCCTTAATCCATTTAAAACACAGGCATGTGTTTTTCACCTTAACAACACTCAAGCATCCCGAGCTCTGAGGATTACCTGGGAAGGAATCCCACTGGAGCATTGCAGCGCGCCCAAATACCTGGGAGTCACTCTGGACCGTGCTCTTACCTACAAGAAGCACTGCCTGAACATCAAGCAAAAAGTGGGTGCTAGAAACAATATCATACGAAAGCTGACTGGCACAACCTGGGGATCACAACCTGACACAGTGAAGACATCTGTCCTTGCGCTATGCTACTCTGCTGCTGAGTATGCATGCCCAGTGTGGAACACATCTCACCACACTAAAACAGTAGATGTGGCTCTCAATGAGACATGCCACATTATCACAGGGTGTCTGCGCCCTACACCACTGGAGAAATTACACTGTCTAGCTGGTATTGCACCACCTGACATCCGCCGGGAAGTTGCAGCCAATAGTGAAAGGACCAAGGCAGAGACATCTCCAGCTCATCCTGTTTGGGTATCAGCCAGCACGTCAACAACTTAAATCTAGAAATAGTTTTCTAAGATCTACAGAGACACTCGCTGGAACACCTCAGCAAGCGAGAGTCCAAAAGTGGCAAGCTCAAACCCAGAACCTCAATCCATGGCTGATACCAAATGAGTGACTCTCCCCTGGGCACACACAAAACTGGGCGACTTGGAAGGCGCTGAACAGACTGCGCTCTGGCACCACAAGATGCAGAGCCCAACCTTAAGAAATGGGGCCACAAAGTGGAATCCATGACATGCGAGGGGCCCTGCTCTCGGCCCCACCCTTGTCACAAACGAGATTGGCGGGGACGAGGGACAGGGCCTTCTCGGTGGTGGCCCCCTGCCTGTGGAATTCACTCCCCGGGAAATTAGATCATCGTCATCCCTCCTCTCTTTCAGAAGAAAATTAAAAACATGGATATGGGACCAGGCCTTTGGGTAATCTGGCAGACTGACAATGGACAATGACGACTAAAGCTTTGGAAACGGACTATGATAAGCGGAATGAATTTATTAATTACGGACTTGGCAAAACGATGGCCACCAGGCTGGCTTTTTATTGTATGAATTTAAAGTTTTAATTGTTATAATTATTGTTACTATTATTGTGTGAATTGTAGGCATCAACGTATGCCAGTTGGAAGCCGCCCTGAGTCCCCCTTAGGGGGTTGAGAAGGGCGGGGTAGAAGTACCCAAAATAAATAAAAATAAATAAATAAAGTAGGTGAAGAAAGAGGCAGGGAGAGGGAAGGAATGACCTCAAACAACCCAGTAAACATAATCGTTGAGCCTTCGGTTGAACCCAGGTTCTTCCAGCCTGGTGTCTTTGTTATCTAACACGACTTGTTTGTACTCTTCCATTTGCCGAGTTTTGGGCTACGGGAGCCACACAATGACCATCGTCTGTTGTCTTTTCTGCCTTGCTCCAGTTACCTGGTGGGGGATGAATTGTGGGTCGTCATGGAGTATTTGGCAGGAGGCTCGTTGACGGACGTTGTGACGGAGACCTGCATGGACGAAGGACAGATTGCCGCTGTGTGTCGAGAGGTAAGCCTTTGAACTATCCATCAGCATCCCGAAGCTTTCCTGATGGATGGATAAGGTGTGCATTCCAGACTTCCTAAGGAAGACAGATTGTGACATGTCTCAGAATATAAAAGGCACTTCTAATAATAAGTATAAACCAGCCAATTCCAGTCGATCCAAAAATACTTCCACTCTCCATCTTTTGTGACTGAGGTGTTAAATTATCAAGAACGGATGGCACTTTTTTGTACTGCTGCAAGATTGGAAATTGCTGAGAATTTCTTTTATTTGGGGGGGGGGGGTTAAGGTGCTTATGCACTCATGAATAATATTTACAGTATTTATATTCCACCCTTCTCACCCCGCAGGGGACTCAGAGCGGATCACAATGCACATATACATGGCAAACATTGAATGCCGTAGACACACCACATATATAGACAAGGGGAGCTGGAGCTGACAGAGGGAGCTCAACCCGCTCTTCCCAGATTCGAATTGTTGACCTGTCGGTCGCCAGTCCTGCTGGCAAATGGATTTATCACATCAAAATCCATGATTTTGGCCCCCTAACCTCTCCTCGGGTTATACATGACGTCAGCTTATACATGAGTATGTATTATATCTCTCAGTTGAAGCCTAATCTATATAAATAAAAATGTAATGTTAGTTTGTGGGATTAATATAACTCAAAAACCACTGGACGAATTGCCGCCAAATTTGGTCACAAGACACCTACTAACCCGACAAGTGACCATCACTAAAAACATTGATTTTGTCATTTGGGATTATAGTTGCTGGGATTTATATTTAACCTACAATCAAAGAATATTCTGAACTCCACCAATGATGGAATTGAACCAATCTTGGCACACAGAACTCCAATGACAAACAGAGAATACTGGAAGGGTTTGGTGGGCATTGACCTTGAGTATGGGAGTTATAGTTCACCTACATCCAGAGAGCACTGTGGACTCAAACAAGGATGAATCTCGACCAAACTTGGCATGAGTACTCATATGCCCAAATATGAACACAGATGGAGTTTGGGGGAAATAGACCTTGACATTTGGGAGTTGTAGCTAGTGGGATTTATAGTTCACCTACAATCAAAGAGCATTCTGAACCCCTCCAATGACAGAATTGAGGCGAACTTCCCACATAGTAACATAACTCAAAAGCCACTGGGTGAATTGACACCAAATTTGGACACAATACACCTCTGTCAGGCCAACAAGTGAATAAAAACACTGAAAAACACAGCAGAAGAAACGTTAAGAGCAAAAAAAAAATACATTAACCATCCATATATGTTTTCTCCTTTTTCTCTTTCTCCCTCCTTTTTCTCTTCCTTCTGCAAGTGTCTTCAAGCTTTGGAATTCCTCCACTCCAACCAGGTTATCCACCGGGACATCAAAAGCGACAACATCCTTCTAGGGATGGATGGCTCAGTCAAGCTAAGTACGTGGATAGGATTTGATTTGATTTGATTTTATCCGTATCAGGAGCAACTTGAGAGACTGCAGATAATTGATTAATAATAATAGTAATAGCCTGAAGAAGAGAAGGCTGAGAGGGGATATGATAGCCATGTATAAATATGTGAGAGGAAGCCACAGGGAGGAGGGAGCAAGCTTGTTTTCTGCTTCCCTGGAGACTAGGACGCAATGGAACAATGGCTTCAAACTACAAGAGAGGAGATTCCATCTGAACATGAGGAAGAACTTCCTGACTGTGAGAGCCGTTCAGCAGTGGAACTCTCTGCCCCGGAGTGTGGTGGAGGCTCCTTCTTTGGAAGCTTTTAAAGAGGCTGGATGGCCATCTGTCAGGGGTGATTTGAATGCAATATTCCTGCTTCTTGGCAGAATGGGGTTGGACTGGATGGCCCATGAGGTCTCTTCCAACTCTTTGATTCTATGCTTCTATGATTCTAATAATAATAATAATAATAATAATAATAATAATAATAATAATAGGGTTGTTGTAGGTTTTTTTGGGCTATATGGCCATGGTCTAGAGGCATTCTCTCCTGGACGTTTCGCCTGCATCTATGGCAAGCATCCTCAGAGGTAGTGAGGATAATAATAATAATTGTTTGTGTCAGGAGCGACTTGAAAAACTGCAAGTCACTTCTGGTGTGAGAGAATTTCCCATCTGCAAGGACAGGGGATGCCCAGATGTTTGATGTTTTACCATCCTTGTGGGAGGCTTCTCTCATGTCCCCACATGAGGAGCTGGAGCTGATAGAGGGAGCTCATCCGCCTCTCCCTGGATTCGAACCTGCGACCTGTCGGTCTTCAGTCCTGCTGGCACAGGGCTTTAACCCACTGCGCCACCAGGGGCTCTTTACCTAAAGATGAACATGAGTGTTTAGCTTGAGTTTCATTCCTTTTTGTAGCTTATTGAAGGGATAGACCAACCATGGACAAACTTTGGCCCTCCAGGTGTTTTGGATTTCAACTCCCAAAATTCTTAACAGCCAATTGGAATTGTGGGAGTTGAAGTCCAAAACACCTGGAAGGCCAAAGTTTGCCCATGCCTTCCCTAAGCCTAGTGAATGTTGAGGACTGACTATATTTTGGTTTATTACCCTTGTTCTTTTTCCCTCCACAGCTGATTTCGGCTTCTGTGCTCAGATCACTCCGGAGCAGAGCAAGCGCAGCACCATGGTGGGGACGCCGTATTGGATGGCTCCCGAGGTGGTGACAAGGAAGGCCTATGGGCCCAAGGTGGACATCTGGTCGCTGGGGATCATGGCCATTGAAATGATCGAGGGGGAGCCGCCGTATCTCAATGAGAATCCTTTGAGGGTAAGTGTTTGAATGTCAAAGGATTATTAGATCCTGCCCTTTATGCACAAGAGGCACATTGGATTCCAAGTTAATTTTGTCAGAAGTATATAAAATTACTAGGTATTTTTAATTACGAAAATGTGAGTCAAGCAAAAGCTTCAGTTCAATATTAGCAAGTGTGTCTGTAGCTTAGTTCGCCCCAGTCTGTGAGAGATCTCTGTGAGAGAAGTCTTAGTGTGAGGGAGGCCTCAGTGTGAGGGAGGCCTCAGTGTGTTATAGGCCTCAATATGAGAAGGCCTCTGTGTTCATTTCAGTCTGAGAGAAGTCTCAGTGCCAAGTCCCATGCAAAATACACACAAACAAAAGGAAAAAAGGAACAGAAAAAAACTTTACTCTTATCAGCAGAGGCAATGTTGCATACAAAATCAAACAGTGCAACAAACTTACATAGTCCTTGTAAGTAACACAGAATAAGGATTCTTCATCTTCATTCAAATGAGAGAGCAAAACATAAACATTAAGTAAATAACAATAACTTGCATATGGTTACACCAGATTGGCTTTTCTCAGATTTTACTTTGATCTTTCTGGTATTTTGAACAACCCGAACTTCTCTCTGTGCTGTTACTACCTTCCCTTTTCTTCCTGTCTTCTTTAAGGCTTTGTATCTCATTGCCACCAATGGCACGCCTGAGTTGCAGAACCCCGAGAAGCTTTCACCTATATTTAGAGACTTCCTCAATCGCTGCCTTGAGATGGACGTGGAGAAGAGAGGGTCTGCTAATGAACTCCTCCAGGTAAGGTTGCAGAATTGACTGGACGAATTGACACCAAATTTGGCAGCAAAACACATTCTAATCTGATCTATGTCTTTCAAACAAAAGAACCCGTAAAAAATGAAGGGGAAAAAACTTAAAACTCCCCCAAAAGAAAAATGCCTTACAGAGCATGCGCAAAAGCCCCTTTCCCCATTTCGTGAGAACAATAAAGCACCAACCGTTGCAAGGGAAGAGAAACCTCACTATGGAGTCCCTTTCCATACAGGAAGGCAGAGTCCTTTTTCTTTTAGGGAGGGGAGGGATTGGGGAAAGGCAAGAGGGAAGGAAGGAGAAGGCCTGGCCCAATGGCAAGCCCCAGCAGCAGCTGGAGCCACCGCAGCGGCTCCATGAGGCCCATGTGGCTACCAGGCAACTCTTTCCCCAAGATCAGAGGATTGCAAGGATTGCTGCACACCGCCGCCCCCCCCCCCAAATTGGGTGAAGGGAGGATGCGAACCATGAGAAGGCCAGCAACAAAATTTATACAACCCAACATATAAATGTTGTTGTTCATTCGTTCAGTCGTCTCCGACTCTTCGTGACCTCATGGACCAGCCCACGCCAGAGCTCCCTGTAGGCCGTTACCACCCCCAGCTCCCTCAAGGTCAGTCCAGTCACTTCAAGGATGCCATCCATCCATCTTGCCCTTGGTCGGCCCCTCTTCCTTTTGCCTTCCACTTTCCCCAGCATAATTGTCTTCTCTTATCCCATGATGTGGCCAAAGTACTTCAACTTTGTCTCTAGTATCCTTCCCTCCAATGAGCAGTCAGGCTTTATTTCCTGAAGTATGGACTGGTTGGATCTTCTCGCAGTCCAAGGCACTCTCAGCACTTTCCTCCAACACCACAGCTCAAAAGCATCGATCTTCCTTCGCTCAGCCTTCCCTAAGGTCCAGCTCTCACATCCGTAGGTGACTACAGGGAATACCATGGCTTTGACTAGGCGGATCTTTGTTGCCAGTCTGATGTCTCTACTCTTTACTATTTTATCGAGACTGGACATTGCTCTCCTCCCAAGAAGTAAGCGTCTTCTGATTTCCTGGCCAAAGTCTGCATCTGCAGTAATCTTTGCACCTAGAAATACAAAGTCTGTCACGGCCTCCACGGTTTCTCCCTCTATTTTCCAGTTGTCAATCATTCTTGTTGCCATAATCTTGGTTTTTTTTGATGTTTAGCTGCAACCCGGCTTTTGCGCTTTCTTCTTTCACCTTGATTAGAAGGCTCCTCAGCTCCTCCTCGCTTTCGGCCATCAGAGTGGTGTCATCTGCATATCTGAGGTTGTTAATGTTTCTTCCAGCAATTTTCACCCCAGCTTTGCATTCATCCAGCCCCGCACATCGCATGATGTGTTCTGCATACAAGTTAAAAAGGTTGGGTGAGAGTATGCAGCCTTGCCGTACGCTGCGTACGGTACGGCAACATATAAATACGAATTATAATTTAGCAGACTAAAATTAAATAAAAAGCATAGCCTGTTATAACAGACACAACACAAAACATCAAACATCAAATGGAAACAATAATTTCCCATTTCTTTGGGGCAAATTATTTTTCTCTTATTTTCTAGCACCAAACTATTTCTCTCTTATTTTCTAGCACCAATTCCTGAAGATTGCCAAACCGCTGTCCAGCCTGACTCCGCTCATCATTGCAGCGAAAGAGGCAGCGAAGAACAACCATTGAAGCGTCCCACGTGGCTGTCGTCATCATTGTGCCAAGCCTTCTTGTTTTTATTTACCCCTCCCCTTAAAAAACAAAACAAAACAGTTTCAAAGGACTCGACTGTTAGGACTTTTACCATGCTCAGAGGAATTTTAATCCAGAGGGGCAGATCAGGATCGTGAAAACAAATGGTGTCGGAATCTTAAAAATGGACATGCAGCGGGAACTGGCCTCCCCATTTGAGATGGGAGAGGATATGGACATTTTCAAGGGCCGCCGCAAAGAGAACGCCTGATCTCAGCCAGTACGTTTTTTAATATTTTGATTTGAGAAGAAATTGTGGGGAGGGAGGGGGGGGGGGAAAGGAGGGGAGAGGGGATTCCTGGAGCCTTTTAGACATGTTTTTGCTAATGAGTTCTTACCGTCTGGGCTACATGCGAGAGCCTTGTTCTTAAACTACTGAAAGACTGGCACAGCTTGGATTACTTGAAAACTCGGAGAAACCTGGAAAGTTTCTTGCTCCGAACTTTCACATGTTTGGACATGTCTGCATGCAACTGGAGAAGACGGTGAACACAGTTAAAATCAAGATCCCCAGCGTGTGCGGGAAGGAAGATTATATCAACGGACTTTGGTCATCATCCCGCGTGTTCGATTTTTTTGTATGTGCGTGTGTGAAACATACGGCGTGCTGATTAAATTCACATGGCTGTTTCCAGCATTCTGATCTCCTGTTACCTCTGGATATATATGTGTGTGTATTGTTGTTGTCGTCTGTCTACATCAGGAATGTAAAAGCCCATTTTCATGGAGGCTCACATCAGCTTTCTGGTTGATTTCAAAGGGCCGTTGAATTTAGAATCCGTGGATATAGAGGGCCAACTATGATTGTTTAACATAGTGCTCAGTGCTTTTTTACCAAATTTGCATCCCCAGATGTTATTGAATGTCAATCACTTTTGGATTATTAAGGTAAAGGTAAAGGTTTCCCCTGGCATTAAGTCTAGAACGACTCTGGGTGGGGGGTGTTACGCAGCACGTGTTTTCTTCCAGCGACCTAATGCCCAAAAACCCAGATGCAAAATAGTCTCAGACCAATAGTCAAAGTAAACAGAAAATCTTTCCTCTCTTAACTTTACAGAGATGAAACAAACCTGGCAATACTGCACGTAGAAATCAGCAGTGCAACATATTTACACAATCTTTGTAATATGCATAAAATAGAGCAGTGGCGCAGTGGGTTAAAGCACTGAGCTGCTGAGCTTGTTGATCGAAAGGTCGCAGGTTCAATTCTGGGGAGCGGCGTGAGCTTCCTCTGTCAGCCCTAGCTTCTGCCAACCTAGCAGTTCGAAAACATGCAAATGTGAGTAGATCAATAGGTACCGCTCCGGCGGGAAGGTAACGGCGCTCCATGCAGTCATGCCGGCCACATGACCTTGGGGGTGTCTACGGACAACGGCGGCTCTTCAGTTTAGAAATGGAGATGAGCACCACACCCCAGAGTTGGACACGAGTGGGCTTAATGTCAGGGGACAACCTTTACCTTTACCTACATATTTGGAGGTCTCTACGGACAACGCTGGCTCTTCGGCTTAGAAATGGAGATGAGCACCACACCCCAGAGTCAGAAATGACTGGACTTAATGTCAGGGGACTACCTTTACCTTTACCTTAGAGCATCTTCTAAGCAGCAAATGGGAAATCAAAACCTGAAGTAAATAGCATCTCCTGCTGTAACTCCACACTGGTGAAACAGAACTCCAGCAGCAACCCACCAGAAATCAAACACCCATCACAATGTACTCATAAAAACCCAGTTATAGCCCCTTGGGCGTGGCACAAGATTGCTGCTTGACCTACTTAGTCAGCTGAACAATATGGTTTTTCTTCACACATATACTTGTGTCCTGCAAGGACTTACCGTAACGGGGGGTGGTGGTGGTGCTCATCTCCATTTCTAAGCTGAAAAGCTGGCGTTGTCCATGGACACCTCCAAGGTCATGTGGCCGGCATGACTGCATGGCGCGTCGTTAGCCTCAGTAGGTACTGCAGAAGCAGTGATCTACTCCCATTTGCAAGGTTACGAACTGCTAGGTTGGCAGAAGCTGGAGCTAACAGTGGGAGCTCAGCCCGCTCCCTGGATTCAAACTGCCAACATGTTGGTCAGCAAGCTCAGCAGCCCAGCAGTTTAACTCACTGCGCCACCAGCGGGTAGATTATTATCCAACATTTCTTTATCGTGTCAGAAGCAAATTGAGAATACAGTTCTCTATATAAATAAAATTGTAATGTTCGTTTGTGGGATTAACAGAACTCAAAAACCACTGTACAAATTGACACCAAATTTGGACACAAGACACCTAACACCCCAATGTATGTCCTTCACTCAAAAAAAATTGATTTTGTCATTTGGGAGTTGTAGATGCTGGGATTTATAGTTCACCTACAATCAAAGAGCATTCTGGACTCCACCAATGATGGAATTGAACCAAATTGGGACACAGTTCTCCCATGGCCAACGGAAAATACTGGAAGGGTTTGGCGGGCAGTGTCCTTTGGTTTTGGAGTTGTAGTTCACCTACATCCAAAAATCACTGTGGACTCAAACAAGGACGGATCTGGACCAAACTTGGCACGATTACTCCATATGTCCAAATGTGAACTCAGATGGAGTTTGGGGAAAATAGACCCTGACATTTGGGAGTTGTAGTTACTGGGATTTATAGTTCACCTACAATCAAAGAGCATTTGAACCCCACCAACGACAGAATTGGGGCAAACTTCCCACACGGAACCCCCATGACCAACAGAAAATCCTTAAGGCCATTTTGTCCAACTCCCTTCATTAGGGCAAGAAAGCATAATTAAAGCCCTCCTGACAAAGACCCATCCAGCCATAGATATAGATCGATTGATATGATTCATGCACACGGAGATATAGTATCATAGATTTGAGAGCGACCCCTATGATATGTTGCATCTTCCAGAGTGGGCCAACCAGACAATCTCCACATCAATACTGACAAAGAAACAGCAAGAACTGCTGTTTACCCACAAGCATGAAGAAATTGCATATATTGGAAACCAACACTTTCTCATTACTTTATTTTCCAAATCACCAGACTGGGCCACAGCAACACATGGCAGGGGATGGCTAGTAGGAAATAAATAATAAATAAATCAGCTCTCTAATATGTTAAGATCATTTTGGATTCTGGTCTAGTCCTGTCCTTTGAAGTTGTATCCAAAGATTCCATCATCCAAGTCATGGATAACGATGTCAAATAGCCCTGAAAAGCTGATGGCAGGACCCCCTTAGAGCACCCACTGGTCCCTTCTCTCCAGGACAAAGAAAGAGGACCTCTTGGTTGGCACCATTTGGGTTCAGCCACTCAAACAATTCCCAATCCATCTCACCGTATAGCATTGTACGAACAGCAAGAACGGAATCGTGTTCCGCTAGGAAATCTGTGACATTAGCCTTTTTTGCAGTTCCATCACGTTCCTGCCTCATGCTTAGCTTTTGACTGAGCCGTATGACTCGAAATGTGTTGAGCCAATCTGTTATCCCCTGTGTGCCTTTTGAAGTCTCAGCACTTTTTGAATATTAACATCAATAGGCAGTCAGGTTCTGCGGGGAGACATAAAAGCTGAATCCGATTGCAATAGTGTGCCCAAGCACCTGTTTTCCAATGGTGTGCTGCCTCTGAAGAACAAAGGTCCATGCAGTGCTTGACAAAGATCCTTTTGGAACTACAACACATTTATTATTGTTAGTTGTAGTAGCATGATCTTGAACGAGATTCAAAGTGACTTTTTGGCTATCCAAGTTTTGCATTAGTCTTCTGGATAACAACTACTAGAACAGTGTTTCTCAACCTTCCTAATGCTGCGACCCCTTAATACAGTTCCTCATGTTGTGGTGACCCCCAACCATAACATTATTTTCATTGCTGCTTCTTAACTAATTTTGCTATTGTTATGAATCATAATGTAAATATCTGATATGCAGGATGGATTTTCATTCACTGGACCAAATTGGGCACAAATTTCCAATATGCCCAAATTGGGGTTGGAGGGGATTGATTTTGTCATTTGGGAGGTGTAGTTGCTGGGATTTATAGTTCATCTACACTCAAAGAGCATTCTGAACTCAGAATCATAGAATCAAAGAGTTGGAAGAGACCACATGGGCCATCCAGTCCAACCCCCTGCCAAGAAGCAGGAATATTGCATTCAAATCACCCCTGACAGATGGCCATCCAGCCTCTGTGTAAAAGCTTCCAAAGAAGGAGCCTCCACCACACTCTGGGCAGAGAGTTCCACTGCTGAACGGCTCTCACAGTCAGGAAGTTCTTCCTCATGTTCAGATGGAATCTCCTCTCTTGTTTGAAGCCATTGTTCCAGCGTCCTAGTCTCCAAGGAAGCAGAAAACAAGCTTGCTCCCTCCTCCCTGTGGCTTCCTCTCACATATTTATACATGGCTATCATATCTCCTCTCAGCCTTCTCTTCTTCAGGCTAAACATGCCCAGCTCCTTAAGCCGTTCCTCATAGGGCTTGTTCTCCAGACCCTTGATCATTTTAGTCGCCCTCCTCTGGACACATTCCAGCTTGTCAATATCTCTCTTGAATTGTGGTGCCCAGAATTGGACACAATATTCCAGGTGTGGTCTAACCAAAGCGGAATAGAGGGGTAGCATGACTTCCCTAGATCTAGACACTATGTGGAATTGAACTCCACCACCGCACACATTATTCGCCGATACAACACACAGACCTAGACACATGGGAAGTGTCTGATGTGTGATCCAATACAACAGCAAGCAGGGTGTCTGCTGTGGACTCATCTTGTGTTTCTAATAATAATAATAATAATAATAATTATTATTATTTTATTCCATGCCTGCCTCTCCTGGCTTGAGATGTGTTACAACATTGCTAAAACACACATTCATCTTTAAAAAATCTTTAAAATATATGTATTAAAACATATTTCCACAAAATGCATATTAAAATACACAAATACACCAAAGGTCCATTGTATGTAAATAATGAGATATTTTAGAGATGGCACCAAAGTCTCAAGCACGATTTTGAAAAAAAAATCATATATACCTTCGATACAAAGCATGAAGGCACACATATACAATATTTATAATATTTTTGTGCATGAAACAAAGTTTTGGCACATTAGGTAAAGGTAAAGGTTTTCCCCTGACATTTAAGTCCAGTCGTGTCTGACTCTGGGGGTTGGTGCTCATCTCCATTTCTAAGCCAAAGAGCCGGCGTTGTCCATAGACACCTCCAAGGTCATGTGGCCAGCATGACTGCATGGAGCGCCGTTACACTGGCACATTAAACCTTCAGAAAAGAGAGGTGAGATTATCTCAGTTACCCATGTGGACGATTGCTGGCTTTGGAGTATTTTGGATTTCAGCCTTCTGGATAAAGGATGCTCGATAATAGAATTCCAACAGAGAAATAACTTCTCTTGAGATCCAAATGTCCCTGACCTGTGAAAAGCTATCTGCTCCATTCTTAGGTAGAGAACATTAAATGGCTCAGTTCACCCTTGAGGAATGTTCTTGGGTTTTTAAACGTTGAGCTTTTCTCCTTTAACTTCTCTATTTTTGTCCCCACTAAGAATGTTCAAAGACTTTCCAGTAGGATTATGACATCAGGAGAAGTTCTAGCAGCCAGCTTTGGGATTCATGGATCGC